GGCGCCAGTTTTCCACTTTGGGTTGGATTTCACCGAGCGCAACTGTAGTACATTTCACTCTTGTGCATGCCCTTGTCTCTTATCTATGCTATCTCTATCTGTATATGTATCTCTCTCTTTCTGTATCTCACTCTTTGTCCTCTTGCTCTCTCTCTCTCTCTCTCTCTCTCTCTCTCTCTCTCTCTCTCTCTCTCTCTCTCTCTCTCTCTCTCTCTCTCTCTCTCGCTCTCTCTCTCTCTCTCTCTCTCTCTCTCTCTCTCTCTCTCTTTCGCTCTCTGTCTCTCTCTCTCTCTCTCTCTCTCTCTCTCTCTCTCTCTCTCGCTCTCTCGCTCTCTCTCTCTCTCTCTCTCTCTCTCTCTCTCGCTCTCTCTCTCTCCTCTCCCCTCTCTCACTCTCTCACACACACACACACACACACGCGCGCGCGCGCGCGCACTCACAATGGTGGGTTGATTCAGTGGTTCCGAATCTCAAGCATACTTGGACCAAGTGCAGGTGCGCACCTGGTGTCTTCCAGTACATGTCCACACATGGGATTCTTCAGTTGATCTTGTTCTTGGTAGATGCCTTTGCCTGTGCTACATGTGTATTTGCTCTGTTTCTTGTTTCACTGCCACACTGCCATGCAATTCACTGCCATGCAATTCACTGCCATGCAATTCACTGCATATTGCAGAAATGGCTTCAGCAACTGAACCAGCTGCCCCTACAACTGCAGATACACCACTGGAGCCACAAACTGGCATCCGTAAGTAGAGGCTTTCAACACGTCAGTAGTGTCTGCTCATATTGATGATTTTTTTTATTAGCCGTCTTAGAATCTCTCTCTCTCTCTCTCTCTCTCTCTCTCTCTTTCTTTCTCTCTCACTCACTTGTGATTACTCACAATGATTCTTCCAATCACTCACTCTTATGCATGTGACCCAGTCTTGCTCAGAAGACAGCGCAACTTCTCAGGGAGTGGAAAGATTTACAAAGCACTCTAAACCCGTGTACGAAAATCTAACATCTAACCCCATCACCGTAGCGTATACTATATACTTCTCCACTCATACTGCAGTATTTCGCTTTTGCTGCTCCTTCATTTCTGCTATTGGCAGGTGTGTTCAAGGGTTTTATACTGTCCTGGACGACCAATCCGCAAAAGCAGCATGTTGACTTTACATTCCGCACCAACCAGCCGAATCACTGGATGGCATTTGGCATCTCAAACAATGAACGCATGGTAAGTTGGCAGATGCCTGTGTGCTAGCAACGTGATGACTTGCTTGCTTGATGAACCCGTGTGATTTGTCCCATCAACCACCGCACCATATCTGTGCTCTCCAGCCGACGTGGACACGTTGCCACAGCACATTTTAGACATTATCAACAAAGCTACTCATCCGTTGGTACTGAACTCCTTCATCTGTATAAATACAGGCTTGAGGTAGCACAGGGCCGAATGATGCTGCTTACACTTTGAAGTAGCCCTTGTGATGGTCTGTTGGTAAATTTGGGTTGATTTTATCGCTTTATAGATATTGTGCAATGGTCTGTGTATGCAAGTATGCAGCTTCTCTTGGCATCACTCTATAGATATTGTGCAATGGTCTGTGTATGCAAGTATGCAGCTTCTCTTGGCATCACTCTATACTTATATTACACATGCAGGGTAGTTTCTCGCCCTTTCGACGCAGGTCGTCTTCCACGTCCTCTGTGTGTGTGTGTGCGCGTGCGTGCGTGTGTATGTGCATGTGCATATGTGTGTGTGTTTATGTGTTTGGTTTGATGCGTGTGTTGGTATACATGTATAGCCGGAGAGTGATATCATCACAGCCTACCTATCACCAGCTACTGGAGAACCTGTGGTAGAGGATAGGTAAGACATGTGATTCTGCCTGTGCGTATGTCCACCGTCACTATGTATGTCCTCTGTTTCTCAACATGTCCTCCGTAACTCTGTATGTTCTTTTTCACTTCGTAAGTCATCTGCCACTCTGTATGTCCTCCGTCTCTGTATGTCCTCCGTCTCTGTATGTCCTCCGTCTCTGTATGTCCTCCGTCTTTGTATGTCCTCCGTCTCTGTATGTCCTCCGTCTTTGTATGTCCTAACTTTATTTCACTCAGTGTGTCCTCCGTCACCATGTATTTCCTCCGTGACTCTGTATTATGTACCTGTCTCTCTGTGTGTTCTCCGTCACGGGCACGGTTGCATTGTGTTGGTACAGTGTATAGCTGTGTTGGTACAGTGTATAGCTGTGTTGGTACAGTGTATAGCTGTGTTATTTTGTGTGTGTTTGTGTGCGGTATGTATGAATGTAAGGTCTAAGATTTATGTGAGCATGTGTTTGCGTGTGTGTGTGTATGTTTATGTATGCCTATGTATGCATGTGTGTGTGTGTGTATGTGTGTGTTTGTGTGTGTGTATATGTATATGTATTCCCTATTGTAGGTATGCCCGAGAATACAGTGTGCCCGTGGTTGACAGCAGTTCCCAGGTCTCCAGGGTGTCCGGTGGCCTTGTAAGCGGGTACACAGTGATCAGTTTCCGAATGCCCTGCTGGTCGGACGACGTAGAGGATATCTCGCTAAGCGGACAGCATCACTTCCTCCTGGCACTGGGCCAGCTGATGGCTGGGGAGATCCAGTATCATGGTGACTCGAGGAGAGTTACTGATCTCATCACTATCAACTGCGGTGGTAAGACTCAATGCTGCTCTTGGTTACTAGCAATCCACTAGAGTCCACACAACACAAGCACGCATAACACGTACCGTAAAGTCATGTATGAAGTCCGCAGCTTTTATGACTTTTTGGGGAATTTTTGAAGGCTTCTATACAGGACAGGTACTTCTATGTATGTCAACACTGAAACCAGGCTTATGTGCCGAAATCAGGCTTCTAGTCAAGACAGGCTTCTATATGAAACAGGCTTTAATTAATACAAGATACTACGGTATATACAAGTTCATTGTGCTTGGTCTGTTTCTTTTTGCCTGTATTCCATTTGATGAGAAGGCAATGAAAGTACTCGTACTAGTGGAAAAGTTTGAAAATGTTGACTGTGATTGCGTTTTTGTCCCAGAGAAAACCTTTGAGTTGGGGAGACTGAGTTTTGAATTAGTTGCACTGTGTTATCATCTGCTTGCTTTGAGATGCTGGTTGCCCAGTGCTCATGTTTGAATTCGGTGAAGATCTCAAGTGTGTTCTTTCAAGCTAGTACTGAAGCTTACTCTAGCTGAAATCAGTCTAGGTCTGTTGGGAATGCCCAAGTGAAATAATAAAATACAATACAAATACAAAAAAGTCAGGCTGACTTGTAGTGACGATCCACTGGTGTCTTGTTGTGTGGTGCACTTAGCTCGCAATGTTGTCACCGACCCTGTCACGCAACCAGCCACCATCTCACCCAGCACGGCAGCGGCCATTGACGGCAAATCAGGTTGGTGCATGCGCCGCATTCAGTGCGAGCAGTTGCTATTGCCCCCGGTGTGTATAGTATACAATTCTAGCAAGAGTAGATATACAAGAGTGTGCAACTCCGCATCTCTTCTGCAAAATCTGCAGGTACCCCGGCCCACGGCGGATTTTTTTGTTGACGTCACCTTTTTCAGAAAAGTGTGCATTTTGCCGCAGAGCAATGTGAGAGCACGTGCTGGGCACCGACCTTGTAATGTAAAGCCCGGCCAAGTGCACGAGGCAAAACTTTCCGAAAGACTCGCAGCACGTGCGTCATAGAAAAGATTACGTCAGCAAAAAATTCCGCCGTGGGCCAACTCAACCGGGAGTTGCACAGTCTTGTTTATCTACTCTTGATTCTACTCATCGGGTAGCAGTGAAGTCTTTTCGCTGAACACACCGGAGCACATTTCCTGCAAGGCAAAATGCCGCAAAGATCGGGCTGTGCGAATGCACGTTGTATGTGCATGCCGACATGGTTGCGATTTTGAATTTTCTACGCGTTCCTGAACCTCCAATCATGTATGTTGACTAATCGGAAATCATCCTGGAAGTAGAGCTCTGTGTTCCTTTTGTTGCGATGCAATTCGATCTCACTTTCCTGCTAGTTAATCATACAGAGTCAGCTCTAGTCTTGTGCGTATGTGTGCGTGCGTGCGTGCGTGCGTGTGTGTGTGTGTGTGTGTGTGTGTGTGTGTGTGTGTGTGTGTGTGTGTGTACAGGAGGATTCTCTAACCCTGCTGGAACGTACATTGTGAACTGGAAGGTGTCGGACTCGGCACCCAAGGTCGACTTCACTCTGCATGCAAGCCATGGTGGATGGATGGGCTTCGGTATTTCACACACTGGCCTTATGGTTAGTTTTCATGTCCTGTTTCTGACCTTGGGCAAGGGTGAGGGGGAAAGGGTGAGGGAAGTCAGTATCAATTTATTTCCCAGTGTATCGTTTGTTTTGCTGAATCAACTCATCACGTTGTCACAAGACGGGCAACTCGGGAAAGGCTCTTATGTGACATTTACATGCTTACTTGAATCTGCCTGAGTCCATTTTCTATGGGTGGAGCTGCTTTGTTGTTCCCGTGTCTAGCGTTAACCCATTTTATGTCGCCATTTTCTGTCTTGTTTCTTTCTTCTGCCATCGTCACTGCCCACCACATCATACGCACCACTGCCTTTGCTACCACTATGATACCGATGCCAATCTGTACTTGCAGACCGACAGTGACATCATCACAGCTTTCATTGACCCTGCAACCGGACAGGCTGTTGTACAAGATCGGTAATGACCAGTGCACTCTGCAGCCTGCTGTCCTGTCACATGACCGTTTCTTGTCTCACTGTGCAGCAGGAGATTGTCTGTATACTTGTGTACACCTTCAGTTGACTGAAACTGCAGTTGTGGCGAATGAAATCCGGCCCCAGAATATTAGAGCTGTGGGGTTGAGTGGCCCAAGTACTGCAAATACTCGGCCATTAGGTGAACACGGCTCTGCTGTATTTATGAGGTCGGTGTTTCGCTTGCCAACGCTGTAGCTATGCCCTAAACAGTAAATATGTATGTGTACAGCGTAGACTGCATACCCAAACCAGGCGTTCTGACTTTGTCCTTCTGACCGAGTAAACATGTTGCCGTTGCTGCGTACAGAGCTTTACCATGATAATTTTGGTCTCAGTACCTCGTACGGTAGGTGCATTGCAGATAGAACATGTCACAGCAACCACCGCCACCATCACACTATCAATGTCCTTATTGTATTGTGTTGCAGTGCCATGCTGATGTAGAGCTCACCGGTGCGTGCATTTGTGTATTTGTGTGTTGTGTGTTGTGTGTTGTGTGTTGTGTGTTGTGTGTTGTGTGTTGTGTGTTGTTCCTGTGGCTGTGACTGTGGCTGTGGCTGTGGCTGTAGGTGGGCAAGTGGACACTACTACCCTGCTCTCGACGTTGACCAGCAGGTATCAGACAGCGCCGGCCAGCAGCTGAATGGCTGGAGCCGTGTCTCCTTCTCACTGCCATGCAGCAGCTCCGATACCAGCAATGACATTGCTATCTCGGGACAGCACTATTTCCTCTTCGCTGTCGGCCAGCTGCTGGGTGGTAATGGTATTCGGCCACATTCCCTGCAGCATATGTGGCGCACATCCATGCCTGTTATGATTCAGTGTGATGGTGGAGATAGTGTGGCTGTTTCAGAGTCTTCCTCTGCACCACCGGAGTCTTCCTCTGCACCACCGGAGTCTTCCTCTGCACCACCGGAGTCTTCCTCTGCACCACCGGAGTCTTCCTCTGCACCACCGGAGTCTTCCTCTGCACCACCGGAGTCTTCCTCTGCACCACCCACACCTGTTGACCCGGTTAGCCCGATTAGCCCGGTTAGCCCGATGGACAGTACCATGACAGCTACTACCATGACGGCTAGTGGTGACGATGACGCCACCGGTAGGTTTGCCACTCATCACACATGTGACTTGCCATGCCTGTCTGAAAAAGATGATGTCATGTGATCTGCTGTCATGTGACAATGATGTAACTTCAAGTATACACTGTTGGTAAACATGCTGATTGTGCAGATAAGATGATCCATGTTCTCAGGACAGTGCTCTGTTCTGTTGTATATCTCCTGGCTTGCAGGTACGGAGGCCTCCGGGGACCCGACACCTGACGAAGGCTCAGCCACACAGCCACCTACAACAGTGGCCGCCGTCACTACCATGGAGGTGATTTCCATCGATGTGGATTTCTCAATCCTGCCGGCTCGTGTCATTGCCGGACGAGACTTCACTCTCTCGGCCCTGGTCACTACATCACCTGTGATCCCTGCTAGTGGGTACACAGTGACGTGGGCCAAGGATGGTCTGCCAGTGAGCAGTAGAGGTATGAACATGTCCCTGCCAGACACAGCACTCGGTATGAGTGAAGCAGTGTTGTCGGACAGTGGCAATTACACCGTGACCATCACGTCGACAAGCGGCAGATTCCCAAGCCAGTCGTTCACCTATACGCTTCAAGTTCATGGTGAGACGTTAGCGTGTTACCCAGTTGTTTGAACATTGCCATAGACATGAACTGCTGCCTAGGAACTGTGTGAGTTTTCAAGTCTGAAAAATATGTTGAACGGCCACTGCTTGGATGACTATTTCACCATAGGTTAGTGGTAGGGCATCGCTGGCCTCAAGCGAGGGTCTCTGGTTCGAGTCCTGGTGGTGACAGTCAATTTTTTAGTTAGACTATTCCCGTTTGCATCTTTCCCTCCAACTAGTGAGCAACTGATCCCTGGTGGGTTCTGTTTTCTTCCACGTATGTCAAGACCTTGCACCCAAAACATTAAGCACCGTCTCAGTAGCCGTTGCTACTTTCTATGAGTCGGCACTACAGGCGGCACTACAGTCGTGTGCTACAGTGTCTTAGCAGTCCAATATTTGCCTAGTAGGTTGTTCAAGTACTAGTATAGCTCATGTACTCTGTGTTTGTCCATCACATCTCTACTGTCCACCGGGTTTGTGACGACCTTGCCCTGTCCGAACACTCACACGGAATGGTCTCTGTACTGCAAAAGCCTCTCTATAGTATGCGTAGAGGAAGACTTTGGCAGCACAGAGACCACTTAGTGTACGGCTCAGACTGTGTAATGTGCAAATGACTGCGTTTGAATGCGAGAATTCTTAGAAAAACTGTGATGTCCCGTAGGCTGTAACAGCACTTGTGTTCTATGCTGTTTTCATGTACTGCATGTACTGTCTGCACCTTGCCGTGGTGTTTCCTACCGTGCTCGTCCTCCCCATTTTGTTCAGATGCTGAGATCATCCCAGTGTTTGTCACACCGGAATTGGAGACAGCCAGTGCTGGTAGTCTGATGACGTTCACCTGCCACTACATACTCACACCAGGTGATGAGGTGCTAGAGCTGGTTTGGTCACCGTCGTCGCAACAGTCTGGCTCTCCGCCAGACTCCTCACCTGCCTCGCCGTCGCCCGACAATGGACGTGTACAGAACCAAGCCCGCAGTGGAGAGTATGGTAGTGTGTTGACCGTGTCTGATGTGAGCGTGGCCGACGCAGGGCACTACGCGTGTAGTGTGCAAACACGCCATGGTCTAGGCACCGCACATGCCTTCCTCGATATTGGTAAGTCTTTCTGTAGCTCACCAGCTGTGGGTGGCTAACTACTGTAGGCGGGAAGCAGGAATGTGTGGGGCAAGTGGATACTGAAATCTGTAGAATTCCATGGCTTGTATACAGAGTAGTGCCATCATTACTATCATTCTGTGCTTTCCTAATCGAAAGCAAAATGACCAATCGGAATCAGACCTTTTTTTATTTAAATTTTCATGCTTTTGTCTTTTTGTCGTGACACATGATGGTTGACACATGATGGTTGTCACATGATGGTTGACACATGATGGTTGCCTTCATCAATAACAGTGTAGTATTGCATGTATTGTGCGGTCTTGTCGTTTTGCAGAGAGAGATCCATCAGCACCTACTCTTCCTACACCGACTCAAACAACAGGTCAGTTGTTGTATTGCTCTAGCTCGTAGCTCATCACTCTTGAGAGGGTGTTCCTTGTGGCATCTGTTCTGCTAGATGTTCGAATCAATATTCTTTGTTTCATGTGGTATCCTGTCAATAGAATTTCTTTCCCAATGGAGTTTGTATTTGTGAATGATGTACCTTTCAGGAGCATGTGAGAATGTGATGTGTCCCACTGGTCAAGCCTGCTATTACATTGGATTTCCGGTGTGTGGAGACGTGTGTTTGGAAGCGGCCTGCTCCTCAAGTGAACAATGTGTGCTGACTGACGGCGAATGCTTTATCGGTGCTGGCTGTATTCCTGCTGCACAGTGCAGGCCATCAGGTAACTTTTGATTCTAATTTCTCTCTCTCCCCCCCCCCCCCCCCTCCCCCTCTCTATATATCTATCTATGTATCTACACACACTATGTATCTCTCTCTCTCTCTCTCTCTCTCTCTCTCTCTCTTTCTCTCTCTCTCTCTCTCTCTCTCTCTCTCTCTCTCTCTCTCTCTCTCTCTCTCTCTCTCTCTCTCTCTCTCTCTCTCTCTCTCTCTCTCTCTCTCTCTCTCTCTCTCTCTCTCTCTCTCTCTCTCTCTCTCTCTCTCTCTCTCTCTCTCTCTCTCTCTCTCTCTCTCTCTCTCTCTCTCTCTCTCTATCCCTTTCCCTCCCTCTGCTACTGCATACTGATAAAGAAAGTGATTTCAGAATAAAGTATCTTGTTTGTTTTGATCGATCACACTGCAGTGTGGTGTGATTGTTGTCATTGTACATTGTGTTAGGTTGAATGCAACATTAAGCTGAAACCTGACAGTTGCCAGACTAAATGTGCCTGTGTTTTGTTGTTGTTCTGATTCCATCTGGCAAACATGTAGTAACTACATCACGACCTGTGACTAACCTAACCGCTGCTACAACACACATGGGTGTGTCTATGCCGACTATGGACCCGATCGGCAGTGGTACGCTGGCAATCAGTGCCAGTGGCACAGGACCTGTTCAGACTGTCACCTCTCAATCTGCCGGTACGTAGCAGGGGAACTGTGTGTGTGTCTGTGTGTATGTGTGTGTGTCTATGTGTGTGCCAGCTAGTTTGGTTGGTGGGTACACTTGTGGCAGGTAGTGTTGGGTCTGTTGCCAACGGGCTCGGCTACTTGAAGGTGCATTGTTGTACCTACCACCTGTGTTGGTTTCAGGGTTCATATACTTTCTATCTGAAGTATACATACCTGTTAACCATGGACTACTTCTGGCTAGATTGACTCTTGTGTAATCAATGGTGCTTGTGAAGCTTATATCAGATCCACTCTGACTTATTGTTGCATCGAGGGCGTCGAAAACGTATCTCTCGGTGTATCTACAGCGGATATCATCGGATCCTACGTTGTGCGTGCGTGTCTGTCTGTCTGTCTGTCTGTCTGTCTGTCTGTGTGTGTGTGTGTGTGTGTCTGTGTGTGTGTGTGTGTGTGTGTGTGTGTGTGTGTGTGTGTGTGTGTGTGTCTGTGTGCCTGTTCATGTGTGCGTGTTTGTTTGTGTTTGTGTCTGTGTATGTCTGTGTGTGAGTCTGTGTCTGTCTGTCTGTCTGTCTGTCTGTCTGTCTGTCTGTCTGTCTGTCTGTGTCTGTGTCTGTGTCTGTGTGTCTCTGTATGTGTATGTTTGTCCACTTGCGTTGTGTTCGTTTCCATGTGTTGCCTGCAGGTTGTAACTCAGCTGGAGAGATTTACGAGGTGGGCGGCAGCTGGAACAGTGGTCCGTGTATCTCCTGTGTGTGCACTGATAACTACACGGCGATGTGTTCATCAGTGTCTTGTCCTACACCAACATGCTCCAACCCCAGTACTGTAGCAGGTCTCTGCTGTCCTGTCTGTCCAGGTAATATACAATCTCTGATAAGATGTGCCTCCTTGCACGGGGAGCAGGAAAGAGTCTTAGGATCGGAGGCATCTCTTATCCAAACTGATAAATGTAGCCGTGTTCCGGCAATGCTCGTACTAAGCAAGAGTTTTTTGTGTGTTTGTTTGTTTGTTTGTCTGTGTCCGTGTGCATCTGTGTCTGTACCTGTGTGTTTTGTCCATTCGTGCATGTTTTTGTCTGTGTCTGTCTGTCTGTGTGTGTGTGTATGTGTGTGTGTATGTGTGTGTGTGTGTGTGTGTGTGTGTGTGTGTGTGTGTGTGTGTGTGTGTGTGTGTGTGTGTGTGTGTGTACTCGTGCGTGTGTGTATGTTATGCTGTAGATCTAGTCATACCAGTAAAGCCCTCGGCACTACCGTGTGCAGCTCAGGACTTCCAGTGTACATCCGGTGACTGTGCGGCCAGTAGCTCAGTGTGTGACCTCACAGCAGACTGTGCTGATGGCAGTGATGAAGAGAAGTGTGGTAAGGACTGCAGGAGTGGTGCAGGCATCACTGCTGCTCCACCGTTACTATTACAACTACAGTAATGGCGGGTGCGGAAGAACTGGGAGTCAGCCTCCTAGCCTAGGCCATTCCTATCTTTCATGTACTTGTACTACAGTCTATGCACGGTTGAGTCACCGTGTATGCATTGGTATGCTGTGCTTGGTGAAATCCTAGCCTGTTTGTTCTTGGCACTCCGTTCTTGGCACTCCGTTCTTGGCACCCCGTTCTTGGCACTCAGTTCTTCAGCACCCGATAGTACTGTACCTCGCATAGCGACTTTGCATACAATCAGGGACAGCCAGGCAGCTTGAAAGAGTGATCAGGGACAGCCGGGCAGCTTGAAAGAGTGATCAATGCACTCGAGTGCAGCGCAGCATACAAGTACAGGAGATAGGGGGTGGTTTCATTGTCTGCTGATCCCTCAGTGCGTGAAGCATTACAAATCAACAACAGCCTCAGATCTGTTGTATTCGTGTAGCCTTATTGTGCACGTCAGGCGAAATAGCACGTCATCGTACATTTGAGATCAGCGGGAAGAAGATGACGACGTCCACTAATTTAGTATCTGTGCACACGAATCTGCTGTGTGTGTGACTCTGTGTGTCAGCTATGATATCATTTTCTGTGGTTCCATGCCTAGCATGTACGTCTGAATCATCCTGCAAAGTTTGAATGACGTAGGTTGAGCGATCGCTCCGCGAAATATACTTTTTGAAATTCTCTTCATAGTATATCTTCCACCATTGAAATTTCGAATTTCTTCAAAAAAAGTGCTGAGAGGGGTGGCTTGCAACCTCGATATGGCTTGTTCCAGGCATGGTTTGGAGCCATCTTCTGTTGAAGTAGTGGCGGGGATCTGCCCTGCAACTGCTACAACAAAAAATGATTCGATCTGAGAAAGGGTGAGACCGCGAATCTCGGTTGAATATTGAGTATTTCAAGCCTTTTCACGACGAAGATGGAGTTCTTTTTGGAGATGGACGTCGCGGCAAAGAACATGGTGTCCGACGTCTGGCGTCTGGTGAAGCCAGGGATCATTTGTCCAGTCAGGTCGGCAGCCTAACCGTCGGTAAGCTTGTGTTTGGATCCCGTTCTGCTCGATGTGGTAGATCACAAACAATTTGATATCGCACAAATTGATCTCAGCATCGTGCGTACGGTATTTTATATTCAGAAAATCCCAAAGTGTCTCTGTGTGGCCGTCCTATGCCACGAGAAACTCCAATCAGGCTCCTATGTCCTCTGCCTTCATGATTGAATGTCCACTTCGTTTGAACAACGAACACAACAATCGAGGACGGCTTTGCAATGAAAAATACAGCTATACTGGAGCTGAAAAAAAGAAGAAAAAAACGTGCTCAGGATGAGACTCGAGTACACGCATACTCTCCCAGCAGGTGAAACGCAAATTTTTGTGAAAAATGCGTGACGCCGACTGACCAGTAATTTCGCCTGACGATGTAGCTATGCGTGAATAGTGTGGAACATGATTATAGCACCAACATGCTGAATGGTAGTTTAGTGTTGGAAGACATCTTATGGACATCTTTCCATGTATCCAGTGCGTGCATGTGTATTGCATGTTGTATGTGTTAATGTGTAATGGCTGTATCTGGTTCCACTTAATCGGTGCACGCATATACACGTGTATACTTGGCGTGTGTATGTGTCTGTCTCTGTATCTCTCTATGTGTCTGTGTCTGTCTGTGTGTCTGTGTGTGTCTGTGTGCCTGTTTCTGTCTGTGTGCCTGTTTCTGTCTGTGTGTTGGTGTTTGTATGTGTGTACGTATGTGTCTTTCTCTGTCTGTCTGTCTGTCTGTCTGTGTATATCTGTCTGCCTGTAATGTTATGTCTTTGTGCGTGTGTGTGTGTGTGTGTGTGTGTGTGTGTGTGTGTGTGTTCAGAGCCCGTTAGCATTGTGGACGAGCCATCCAACAAACACGCAGTTCAGGGCAGTGACATCATACTGAACTGCAAGGCTACCGGTGTACCAACGCCTCTCATCAAATGGCTACACAGCAACGCCGACGTAGTGGAGACGGACAGAGTGAAAACCGAGACACTGAGCGAACCACCACTAGTGACTAGCCGATTGCGTATCACCAATGCTAACCTGACAGATGCTGGCCTGTATCACTGCCAGGCTGGAAACAGATTTGCTACCCAGGACAGTATGGCCAGGGTCACGGTTGTTGGTAAGTAGTTTAAGTGTGTGTCTGTGTCTGTGTCTGTGCATGTCTTTGTGTTGCGGGGGGGGGGGGGGCTGAGACAGCATGCTGTACGGTGTGTGCGTACGATGCCATGTGGTAGTTATATTATTAGTAAATAGTTTGCGCTTATGTCCGAACATAAGCCCGTGCGCTTATATGTACGGAAGTACGTTAATGGTTTCACACGATTGGCTTAGTGAGTAAGCCCATTCTCAACATGCATCATTGCAGAGCTATGCTGTATGGTGTAGTGCATTCCGCTCACATCCCTATAGTCAGTGCAAGTGCTGTATGTGTCTCTGTGTGTCGGTACAGCTGCTCCGATGCCCACCTACAGTCCGTGCACGCATAACGGCGCACTGCACGCATTCGGCAGCACGTGGACCGAGCTGCAGGGCGATGGAGAAACCACCGCGTTCTCTGGCGAAATCATCTTTGTCGTGGACGAGTCTCGCTCCATGAAGGAATCACACGTTTGGCTGCCTGGCCTGCTCCACAGCCTAGATGATGCGCTGAAAGCCTCGTCCATCGGTATGGAACATCAGAATCGGTATGGCGTGGTGGGTTTTGCTGGTCGCGGTCCTCTCTTCTTGGGCAGAGCGCTTCCAGCCAGCCCCTCGTCCAATCTTGGTGATGTGGCCAGTGCCAGGGAGATGTTTGCCAGTCTGAAGCAGGATGGCATTATCGAGGATGGCTATGCCGCTATACAGATCTCGATTGATTCCGCAAAGTATCCCCGCGCCGAAGGCAGTAGCAAGTTGGTGGTGTTGGTCACGGACGAGGACCGGGACAAATTTGAGTTCTCTCTGACGCGTGATCGCATGCAGATGCTGCTGAACAGAGCTGCAGTGCAACTGCATGTTATAGTCAATGCTGGCATGAAGTCTGCCGATGAAACACTTCTAGGCTTCTCCAATGTGTCTGCTTACACGGTGGATGGTGATGCTAAGACCCTGGCCAGAGAGATGATGCTACACGGACGTCCCCAGTACATCCGCCGTCGCTCTACTGGTAACACTGTGCGTGATTACGTAGAGTTGGCTGTGTCCACCGGCGGTGCTGCCTGGGACATTGGGCAGTTGGAGACCAATATTGAAGCGTTCACCGATGCTGTTATCAAGGTACACTGATGCTGCCGCTGTTGATGCCCTGCCGATGCTGCTGCTGCTGCTGATGCTGCTGCTGCTGCTGCTGATGCTGCTGATGCTGCCACTGTGATATTGATACAGAGTGTTAGACGTGGGCTGAGTAAATGTGACACTGAGGTGTTTTGTTTCGTAAATAGAAAACACAGAGCGTGCCTTCCGACTACTGGTACTCGAAACAGACGACCAGTGGTTTGAAGTGCGGATTGTGCGGATTGTGTGGATTGTGTGGATTGTGTGGATGGTGTGATTGTGTTGTTGTTTTCATTCTGTGCCCGTTCTTCAAGCCTAAGCCCGTTCTTTATCACATTTCTCACTTGTTTACAGTTGCTCTGGTCAATCACTAAGCTAGGTTCTATGCTAGTCCACACACTTTCATGGTGCGGAAGTAGAAAAATTCTGCTATCCAGCAAGAGATCAGTGCGGGTAATGGCAAAGAGAGAGTTCAGATACTGAAGACGGAACAATACCTGCGGTAACTCACAGAGTGAATGCTTGTTCCGGTCCTCAGATACTGTGCTGATTGTGCTTGAGTACGTTCTTAAAAGTGTATGTACTTCCTCCGCTTCATTAAAATTGTCGCTTCGCACATCGCAATATTTGAGACTTGGCTCGTCTTAGTCAGACTGTCGGAATCGCTGTTTTCTGTGTTCGAACACTGGTGCGACCCTTCCTGCGCAATGTCGACTTGTCACTGAAGCCGTGGTGGTCTCGAACTTTGTCGGAGCGCTCTTCCGCACCAAGCAAATTCATCGCGCTCCGCACTATTCCGCCCCAGAGCGCATTTCGTTTTCTGGAGTTTGTGCCGTCCCACATCGTTCGCGTGGGCATTATATCAAGACTGCAAGCTCGGGTATAAGAATCCTGGTATCTTTCCTGAATACCAAATGCTGAAGTTGACGATGGCAAGAACAAAGCGATCTCAAATTCCTAAAATGCGCTACTTGTGGCGCATGTGGCTGCGAAGGTAGCAGGTCTGAAAAAAAACATCAGCGAAGCGCTTGCCAAGGAAAGAAGGTGCGAAACTGCTTACCCTATCCCGCTGGAAGGTCGTTACAGTGTACTTGAAAAATGCTAGCTTGCCTTCATCGCCTGCCGCCGGGAGGCATGGATCGCTTGAAGACGAGGTTTCTTGACCTGAATTTGACCGCGCGTCTTGTTCAGCGTATTGTTGAGTGCTGAAGGGTCTGCCTCAAACTCTGATGAAGACGTCGACCTTAGCTGCAAGTGCAGAGAAGCGGGGGGCCACAAACTAAAGCTTGGTCCGTCGACAATGCTCTGCCTCAATTTCTAGCTGATTTCTTTGCCCTTCGAGTGGACAATATATATTCGAAAAATCGCTCTGGGAAGCGACAATTTTAATGACGCGGAGGAAGTATGTTTGTTTGTTTGTTTGTTTGTTCAGGGGTTGGTGCGCAGTGCTAACATCCAGGCAAAGTCGTGTTTTGAGTGCAGTTGTCAGGAAGGCGGTCAAGTGAGCTGTGTGCCGTCTGCGCTGGCTCCAATGTACTGCGTCATGCCATTGGATGAACCAGGTAAGACTGACTGCAAGGAGAATGCCAACTATCAGAACATCCACTGTCCGAACGATCGATTAGCCAAACTGCTTGTTTGCACTGGATAAACAAAATGAGTTTGTGGTGAAGGGCTATGTGAGTGTTATTTTAGCTCAACTTCTACTGTTCTCTCTCTCTCTCTCTCTCTTGCTCTTGCTCTTGCTCTCATTGTAAGCTGCAAACGCAGGGTTTTACGTTTTCTGTGTGTGTGTGTTTACCCGCTCTGTCATGTGTTGTATTGTCTCTCTGTCCATTCTCCCCACTGTGCGATCACTTGATCATTCAGAGGTGCCCACATTCGCCAAGCCCGACGTCACAGCTACTCCAAACTCACTGTCGGTGGCTGCCAAGAGTCAAGCTAGCTTCACCTGTGTGATCCATGCACATGGTGCGGACACTGTGGACATCAAGTGGACTCACGTTGGTGCCAATTCCACTGACGTTGTTCATACTGGCCCAGTGCTATTGTTACCCGCCGTGTCGCTGAAGGACGCTGGCATGTACATATGCACAGTGGATACAGAAGGAGGACAAACATCAAGCAAAGTCACTCTCCATGTTGTGGGTATGTCCTGTCCTCTAACGTTAATCATAGACCGTACAGTCTTCTTTGTGTGTGTGTGCTCCTTTCTGTGGTCGTGTCATATTGTGGGCAACACGCACACACAAACTAATGCACATGTGTACACGATCATGCAAACATACACATACACATACATACATACACACACACACACACACACACATACGCGCGCGCACGTACGCAGTGCTGGACAGGCTCTGATCGAGTCAGGGAATATTCCCATAAGGCCACCTAGAATTAATTCGTTGTTTCGGGTCACTTCACTCATCCGTACCAGGGTCGGTCGGTCGGGTTTATTTTTTATTTTATTTTTTATTTTACTTGCGGGCATGTGCATACATGTACAATTGTGCATATCGAATAGCTTTTCTCCATCAAGCCAGTCGATCAAATCTGACTGTAGTCGATCCAGCGTAGCCATTGTCCCATCAGATCCAGGTCTCCTCCAGGACCAGATCTTGGCCTCGCTGGCAAACGAGTCTGACGAGCAGCTCTCACCGAGGTCCTTGAAAACTTCTGTCAATGAGCGACGCAGTGGCGGAGCTGATGCTGTTTCAGGACCGATTGCGAACCGGAGATAGAAGAGAACGTCGTCACCAAGTGCTGCATCCTGTCAATTGGCTGCTTCTGAGGTCCATGTCTGGACTGCTATTATTTTGGGTCGCGTGTGTACATAGTCTAGTCTACCTTGTAGTCATGCACATTTGCATGCACTAAAAAAAAAAAAAAATTGCGGTCGGGTGAAAAAAGACGGTCGGTCGGGTGACCCGAAACAACGAATTAATTCTGGGTGGCCTAAATATTTCTTTTTTCCTGATTTCTATTTGTTGAATTTATCCCTTTAGATTCTGTACGTGTGTCTCCGGCTAGTGAATCCCTCATATTGGATGTTGGACAATCACTAAGCTACACCCTTCAAGTGTTTGGAGAGCCACTGCCACTTGTGCAGTGGACCCGTTCCGATGCAAACGTTGCCACTGGTGATGTGTGGCTACCGGATGGCCTGGTACAGGACGGTGCACGGTTATCAGCCGGAGCGGTGACACTGGACATGGCTGGCATGTACCAGGCACGGGCTGTGAACTCCTACGGTCAGGCTGTAGCTCGGGTTGACATTGTTGTTCGAGGTAAGACTGCTACTGCGTGCCCTGTTGTAACACTGGCCTTGGTGTACAATAGTGTGTATGGTCTAGTAACATTGGCCTGTATGTGCAGCACAGTGTGTATGGTCTACTAATGTTGGCATGTGTGTAGCACAGTGTGTATGGTGTATTAACATTGGCCTGTGTGTAGCACAGTGTGTATGATTTATCAGCATGTAATCATTGGCACGGCTTCTGACTCGTTCAACTTGACCATGCTTTGACAGGGTCAACAGGACAGGGTGTTGCACTCTCTGCATGCACTGCTGTATCAATTATGCTCCTGTAGAGCATTGGTCTGAATGTAATCATTCTACTCTTAGAATTATGTCTTCATTCTGAATGTATGGTGTCACTCTGTGTGTGTGTATGTGTGTGTATGTGTATGTATGTGTGTGCGTGCACGCGCGTGTGTGTGTTTATGTGTGTGTGTGCGTGTGTGTGCGCACGTGCGTGTGTGTGTACCCGGTATGTATTATATCAATGTGTGTGTGTGTGACATTGGCTGGCATTGTCTGTTCTGATCAGGTCCACCGGTAGTACTCACTGAACCGCGACTACTGTCCATCCCACCAGGCAGCTCTGGAGTTGTCTCTTGCCAGGTTGCCGACAGTACAAACTCTTCCATTGTGACATGGTTCTTGCTAACATCTGACCCGCTACCTCAGGGTACACGTCAATCCGGTAACTTGCTCTACATCGACGAGGTCAACGGTAACATTGCTCGGCAGTACACCTGCCGCGCTCAGAATGAGTTCGGCTCTGCTGTTGCTACGGCGACCGTGGACATACAGAGTAAGCTATTGAGTATTGGTAGGACTGTAGCAGTATCCATAGCAACCATGGCAATTGGGAACGAAGACTTTCATTTTATGTAGGTCGATGACCTCTACTGGAAGCTGACTCCCGCAGCACAGAATCCTGTACTACTACAGACAAGCATACCCTGCACCCTTAGCATGTCTCTGTACTCTTAGTGTGTCCCTGGCAGGCTGCACTAGCATCTCTGTACTCCTAGTATATCCCTGTGGGTTTCATGGCCAGGTTGTCAATATCTGTCCATCTTCTTGAAGCATTGCTCTCCTGTGCCCATGTTCAACACGTTTCTTTGTGCAGACAATATTCTATCACTGACTGATTGCTACTCGCACAGCTGCCTTCTTTCTTAGCTCCTTCTTGTCCCATCCTGGTAATGTGTATGCGCGTGTGTTGCCTGCAGGATCACCGAGTGTGTTTATTCGTCCACGCCGTGTGGTAGCGTCCCTGAACAGTCCCGTGTCGGTCAGCTGTGTTGCCACCGGCTCTCCGCCATTGTCGGTGCGGTGGAGTAATGCAGACAGCGACGGTGACATGGACTTTGCCGATGGTATCATTGTGATCGGTACACAGTTGATAATCACTAGACTGACCGCCAAGCATGTCAATCGCTACGCGTGCACTGCTGCCAATGCTAACGGTATGGCCACCGAGGTAGTCACAGTGGAACTGCAAGGTGAGTACAGCATGTTGAGAAAGACTACATGTACCATTGCCCACACACACAACAGAGGCGAACGGCTGTGTAGTTGTAACTTCAAGTTTCACGCATTTCAGCGATCATCAGACAGCAGCATTTACTGTACCATCGCCTACATAACTATTCAACATATCCACTTGTCTTATTTACTGATATTGTCTGGTGATCGCCGCCTCGTGTGTGAAACTCAGAGTTACAACGACTTGTTCATCCTCTACTTCTTGTAAGTAGCTCTGCCCCTTTGGGCATTGAGCACTGTTTTCAACAGCCTGGAACCTTTTCTGTTTTTTTTGTTGTATTATTTACTGGCATCGTCACTGTGTTAACAGTGCAGTGGCAGCACTGCCAAGCACACCATGGCTAGTGTATTTGTCAAAGTTAAATCACAGGTCTGCTCTACACCTTTGGCTAAGTCACTGTCACAGATAAGTATGTAGCAAGGGAATTCTATATGCTGACCGTAGTGAGAGAAAAAAATAGTTGGTTTTACCAACTCACGGGGCAATCACTTTTGATTGTCAAAATGTAACGTTGCTCGTGTTTGAACGGTGTGGTGTTTTCCATTTGACTGCCTTGGAGTTGGTTGTACCTGGCTACTACCAACCGCAGCACTCTGGTCCACATCACATTCCCTTGGACAGTTGTTGGCTGTTTCTATATATTCCAGGTGGCAAAGACTGCAGTGAGTTCCTTTGGGGAAAGGAGACGAAAACTCACACTTTTGCCTGTCTTGTAGTTCATGGCGCATGTTGATAGCCTGTATCTTGTGCTGATTTGCTTTTCCCTCTGAAGGAGCACCACGCATGCCCACACTGCCAAAGATCAAGGTGGACGGTGCCACTGCAACGAGTGTCATTCTCTCGCTTCCCGAACCGCTGACAAACGACGTCAGTAACCCGGTGGACTCGTTCTTGGTTCGGTACCGCAGCTATATGCCAGACAGTATGAGCTACTCTGCGTGGATGGTTGCTGACCGTGATGTGTCGGCCGTGTCCACCGAGTATGTAGTCTCCAACCTTGAACCCAGTACTACATACCAGTTTGATGTGCAGAGCCATTCAGATGCAGGACCCTCCCTGCGCAGTCCTGCACAAACTTTCACCACTCTTTCAGCTGGTAGGTCATTTTGTCAATCATGCTTGGTTTGTAATGCCGATTTGTAAGATGACGAAATCACTGGACAAATGTTCTTATAACGAGTCGCAAATTTAACGATTGTCCAAAATCCACAGATTAACGAGAAGATACGTTAACAATCTTGCAGTTTTCAGGCATAGCCGCGCATAACACATATGTGGCCTTACAGCCTCAACAGAACTTATTATGACCAAGAAGTGCCATTCGTTTTAAGATGTTACATTTACTTCCTCGTTATATTTACCTGTCTTAATAAAAGACGGCTACATGAGTTGAGTTGCATGTAGCGCTACTATGACCATGGTCGTCTTTCAGCGAGAATAGGGTTGTGCAGCATGCAATGGTGTGCTACAGAACATGTTGTTAGGAACAGAGAACATGTTCCAGTGCGTTCTGCCAATCACTCCCTGTTCTACTGTTGACTACAGGTGCACCAACATGGCCTCAACCTGCATGGTACCCACTTCGATCTACAAATGAGACAATATACATCAACCTGCCAGTGATGGATGCGTTTGTTGACACTCAGAAGTTTGTTCTTGAAATGAAACTGACTGGCGATGAGACTGCTTTGATCGTTCAATACCCCACTCTGGAGGTGGAAGTTCCAACTAATGATCCCTTGCTGGCACTGACTAATCCTGGGCTAGCTGAGCATTATGAGATACGGATTCGCAGCCAGGAAAGCATGTCAGACACCGAAGCATGGAGTCTGCCATTGCTTGTGACGCCGGGACATGCTGGTGAGTCATTCGTATCAGATAGCTAGCTCACTTGTAAGCAGATTTGCAAATACAAATATCACACCTAAATCTTTACTTTGCCTAGTGGCCTGTCTGTACTAGTATGGTTTGGAATGGACTGGTGGGTACTGGAGACTAACGCAGGGGTTGCTCAACATGTACTTTTAGAATGTTTGTATGTGCGTTCATGTGTATCTGTGTGTGTGTGTGTGTGTGTGTGTGTGTGTGTGTGTGTGTGTGTGTGTGTGTGTGTGTGTGTGTGTGTACGTGTGTATGTGCGTTCATGTGTATGTGCCTGTGTAAATACACTCCTTTAGGAGCTGTCCAGTGGCCAGAGAACGCTCTGGACACTAACAAGGTTTCATCAACGGAAGCCACCGTCAACCTTCCCACAGTGGCAGAGGCGCTACGCTTGATGCCCGCTGCAGAGCAATACCTACTGCAGTTGTACCGACTGGGGCCAGATGGAGACGACAGCAGTGGTACCCGCCCTGATGGGCAAGCTCGTGTCGGCCTTAACCAAGGACAATACACGCTAGTGAACCTGCAGCCCAGCACACTGTATGGCGTTGAAGTGCTTGTGGAGTCACAGGACAATCTCACGCCAAGCAGCCAGATGCTTACCTTCACCACACGCCCAGCTGGTACGGTATTCTACATCTTGTGCTGCTCAGGCACTGCTCAATGATTGTAAAGTTTAGTCAGTGCATGGCTTGTATTGACAATGGCATTCACTATGCAGTAATTGACAATTTGCTACTCGAGACAATAGCAAAATCATACCACCACCACTACGCTTTGCATCCACTCACCCATGGTCACAGGATCATGTTACATGGGAGCAAGAAACTAACTAACTGTGCAAGCAATCATAGTAAAGGCCTCCAGGGCTTTGCTCTTCCAGACGCACTGTGCTGGCCTGTCGAAGCTTGGAATTATCTCCAACTTCCTCCATCTGTATGTGTATATGTGTGTGTGTGTGTGTGTGTGTGTGTGTGTGTGTGTGTGTGTGTGTGTGTGTGTGTGTGTGTTTGTGTGTGCGTGCGCATGCATGCCCGCACTCGTTCATGTGTGCGTTTGTGGATATGTGTTTATTATTCTCACTTTGTATGACTAGACATTCCCGTATGGCCATCAGTTGCTGTTGATCCATACTCAGCCACACCAGACTCACTGACAATATTCACACCCAACACGGATCCTATCCACGCCATACACTATCTTCAGTTTGAGACGCGCTACCAGGGAGACAATGGCGAATGGTCACCATGGACCAAGTCCCTGGAGCGACAGCCATTGCTGCTTGCTGCCCGTCGACTAATGTTACCTGTGTCGCTTGCATCAGCTCGATATCAGGTACGGGCGTCCGGTGTCAGAGCCAGTGGTACGTTAACTCGACCTTCAGCCTCAATTGAAGCCTCCACTCTAGCTGAAGGTAAGGCATCTACGCATTATTGTAGTGGTCTATGTGATGATAGCGTATGATGTCATAGCGGTGCATGTGATGGTGGCATATGATGTCATAGCGGTGCATGTGATGGTGGTGTATGATGTCATAGTGGTGCATGTGATGGTGGCATATGATGATGACATAGTGGTGCATGTGATGGTGGTGTATGATGTCATAGTGGTGCATGTGATGGTGACGTATGATGTCATAGTGGTGCATGTGATGGTGGTGTATGATGTCAATACTTGCTGCTCTGTGTGAAAGTAATGCATGTATGTTTACGAGTAGTGCATGTACCGTGTGAAGTCACATCTCTACGTACTCTACGTACTCGCATAGCACATCTCTACGTACTCGCATAGTATAGTCCGTCAAACTACTGTACTACTTTCTACGTGTTCACTACAGGGTCTGCGGTATGGGGTGAGGATGCTTTTGAGCAATCTCAGACAACTGCCTCGTCGGTAACGGTGCTTCTCCAGCCACTGGCAGGTAACATGAGCAGCAGCAGCAGCAGCAGCACTGTGGCCAATCAATCTCTTACCTACATTATCATTCTTCAGCCAGTGTCGCAGGATGGTGATGTCACAGGGCCTGTTATAGTTCACACTGCTTCTCCGCCGCGTGGTGTTACGGCCAAGCCCGTCGTTGTGGATGGGCTAACGCCAAACACACGTTATCAGGTCACACTGAACCAACAGCTTGGCAACACTTCGCTTCCACCGAGTGCTCCACGAATGGTTGTGACGGCAGCCACGGGTAAGTACCAGTTTCTTGTCCAGTTTTGTAGCTGCATGCATTCTGTGCTGCTCTGTTTACGTAACTAACTTAGCAACCATCAAAGGTCCTCGATATCCTGCTTCTCAATGAATTCTGCGTTATTTTTCAAGTACGTCTATATCTATGTTCCATTGCAGGAAGGTTCTGTTGCGTAACAACTAACTTGTATTCATCTACTCTCATTGTTTCCTCTTTATCTGTGTCCACGTGTCATTGTCTTCAGGTGCACCTCAATGGCCACAACCAGCCGTTGATCATGCCCGCACCACAACATCATCTATTCACGTGTTCCTGCCAATCACATCTGCCGTGGTTGATTACCTTGCGTATCGCCGCAGCATGGCTAGCTCTAGTCAGCAATGGGTAGCAGTGACTGACAGCAGCGAGGAAGGTGATAGACTGTTCACGTTCTCCCAGCTTGAGCCTGGCCAAGCGTACGAGTTCCAGATATTCGCTGCAACACCTAGTGGCACATCGCCAGGTAGTGCTATACTGCAATCATCCACACTGGAAGAAGGTACGTATCTTAGGCAGTAGCACTGCAACTGCAACTGCTCACCCTTGTTCAGTTCATTCTCTGAGTTTGATTGGTCATAATAGAGAGTAATCCCTTGCACAATATGTTCAGCATAGGTATCACTGTTCAACTGCATTTCACGGTTTATCCGCTCCGTTTTTTGGTCTTGTTTTTGTGTTTTGTTTACCTTGAGTTTACTGCTTCGCCCTGAGGAAGGTGCCGGATAATTTGGTGAAGAAATAATCTTTTTTTGCAGAAAAGAGACCAATTGCTATAATTATATTTGTGGAGTCTGATTGAAAATAAGACTTTACTGTGTAGATTTGAATACATGTAGTTAACATGCATGTCTTGCACAAAGTAACAATTCATTCTACCTGGTGTTTATTTTACAGTGCATGTGTAGCATGTCGAACTGTGCAAAATCGTTGATTAAAAATGGTGTTCTGGCATGATTTATAAGTGCTATTTATTTTGCCTGTTGGCTCGCAGGATCTCCCGAATGGGAGCGTCCAGCATTTGACAGTGCACGCACCACTCCCAGCAGTGTTCATCTCAATCTGCCCGCGTACCCGGGAGTGCAGGATCATGACTCCATGTTCTCCTACACACTACAGCATAGAGTGATGTATGACGATGGTACTTGGACGTCGTGGGGAAACTCTAGCGGCGATCTCACTGCTGCCACCGCCAGCTCTGGCCTCACTGTCAAAGACCTATCTGCGTCGAGCACTGTGCAGTTCAGACTGCAGGCTGTGAGCGACGACTACACATCCCCGTTCGGTGCACCAGTAACTGTTCAGACTCTGGCTCAAGGTAGGGATGAAGACGCAGAGGGTATTATTTAATTACATGATCAGTTTGACCTAAGTTACCAGCTTGCCTGTTCAACATGCATGCATGGAATTGCTCAATTACAACAATGTTGGTCCCAAAGCCAATTGAATTAGCAGTGTTATCTCCCCATTAATCGTTTCTCACAAACTTCCTGTGCAATTGTTCCCTTCTGTTGTTACAATTTCAACGGTGTCTTTCTTGTCTAACTATGGATTGCAGGCAGTCCAGTGTGGCCAGAGGATGCTTACACCGATACTACATCTACATCTACATCAGTGCGCGTTCTAGTGCCGGAGGTATTCCCCGATAGTCAACAGCAGGTCGTGTTCAAACTGCAACCCAAGGCCAAGAACGGCCTTGCCACAGTCCCGGGGATCACCCTGCCTGCACAGCAAGGTAGTGGTGAGATGGTGGTAAGTCACCTGCTACCCAATAGTCGCTATGACCTCTCCTTCAGCTTGAGCAATGCAACATCTGCCACGCCATTCGGATCACCGTTGGACGTGATAACAATAGCGGAGGGTATGTAGCTACCATTTAGTTTTGTATTGTTTAAAATTTTTGTTTTGCAGATCTCAGCCAGCCTGGCTCACAACACATCTCCACAATACCGGTGTATGCGTATCTGAGTGCCAACCAGGACCCCCTGCATTAAAGTACTTTTGTTTTCCAACTTGCAGCAGATTCTTTACAGGAATGATTTGATGTGTTTGACCAGCTGACGGTCACACAGGTGTATGCCCATTCACACAGAAACATCCGGTGATGACGTTTATAGATTGCTATCTTGCTCGTGATGTTTATACACTGTTATCTTGCTCATGGTGTTTCTGTTTTTGTCGACCCTGTCAGGCGCACCAGTGTGGCCACATCCTCCGCTGCAGGAATCCCAACTCTACCCAGACTCGGTCGTCATCAACCTTCCCGCTAGTCTCAGGCGTCCACTCATCTTGCACACAAACCTGCCCGGGGGCTACTCAACATCCATAGTAGACGACACAATACACTTTGAATTCGTCGACATTTCCCCCGGGTTTGACCTGGAGGTGCAGTTCCAGGAAGACCTTGGAACAGGCACTTTGTCTGCACCGAGTGCTACGCTAGAAGTCACTACACCAGCGCAAGGTAAGGACACTTTGGTGCGCTAGAAACGTGTTCAAAAATGATGCCATTGGCCATGGTATTGACATTTTTGTGTGTGTTTGGGGAGGGGGGGGGGGGGTATAGAAGGCAACAGGCGATTAGAACAGCTGCTTGAAATATTGCCATGGTGATATGAGACATTTCAACGTCTGTCCATATCAAGTTCCACTGCTGGTGGACGGTGGCTCAACTGTCTTCTGTTGTGTGCTGTGTAACTGCAATTCTGCCAGGACATGGCTGTGTGGGCATTGAACTATTCATTGAACTATTCATTGTATTCACCCATACTCTCTGGGTTAGACTTTGACTTCTTTTGTACTTTATTCTGTCATGTACTGGTGCTGATGGTGTTGCTGTTATTGCTATATGTGGTGTGTGATGTGTGGTGTGTGGCGTGTGTGGCGTGTGGTGTGTGATGTGTGGGGCGTGTGGCGTGTGATGTGTGGTGTGTCCCATGTGTTTATACACGTCTCTATTCAGACACGCCGCTCTGGCTGATTCCAGCGATTGTCTTCCATGCTACGACGGCCAGCTCTGTACGCCTAGCTGCGCCGTTTGTTGCCGTGAGATCCGATGTGTCTGCATTCAACGTATTCTATCGTGTGAAGCAAGACAATGGTCTGTACTCTGAGTGGAGCAGTGTTTCACCGGTTACACTACAGCCTGGTCAAGCTGAGTTTGAAGTAGCTCAGCTACCCGCCGATAGTGAGATCCAGGTCAGAGTGCGTGCCGAGTTTGACGACGGTACCCAGTCTGATTACAGTCCCACTCAGACCGTACGGACACTACCTGCAAGTGCACCCGTCTGGCCAAGCTATGCTTACAACCCGTCACTGTCTACTGCGACGTCCGTTGAGATCGGCTTGCCGCCATCGCTGGTTGGACAGCAGGTGGTTGTGCGTGCACAGCCAGTTGACGCATGGGGCGATGCCCAGGATAACGTTGCAGACATCACCATCGCCGGTACAGCCCTAGTCGTGCTGGAAGGACTCGCTCCCAACTCTCTGTACAACGTGTTTGTGAAAGCAGCTGCGCCATCCACGCCGGCTCCCTCGCTTACTGGCAGCGGTCTTGAGATGGATATCAGTGGTGATGCTGGACAAACCATGCCCACATTCTCACCCGCAGAGAACATCTTCTCTGGACCATTGCAAGTTCGCACCATTGAACTAGGTTAGTCAGTACTCCTACATATACATCACGTCTTTTTTCCCCATCTTGGGCACCAGTAATCCATGTGTGCGTGTATGCTGAGTCCCTGTTCTAGTTCCGGTACACACTGTGACTGACTTGTGGCAAGTACATGTGGACTGTATGGTCCTGTCTTTACCATCTATACTTCAGCATGTGTTGACTGTTCGGCACTGGTAGGTTGTAAAGACTAAAATTTGTGTAGTATCTCCAAGTATCATCAGCACTTTTGATAACTTTGCTCATACAGCGGTATGATAATGCTGGGAAGAACGCTGGTGTTGTATCAGTTGTGAATCTGTGGTTGAAATGCTGCTGCGGACTTGAATGTGGCTTTCAAGCTCTGACAGATATTTTCCATTTTTGTTCCATTTGATTTTGCTGCTGCTGTTACTGCTGCTGCTGCTGTTGCTGCTGCTGCTGCTGTTGCTGCTGCTGCTGCTGTTGCTGCTGTTGCTGCTGCTGCTGTTGCTGCTGCTGTTGTTTTACAATCCTTACTATCATTGTTGCCATCACCACCATACCACCACCATACCACCATACCACCACCTGATGTCATGTCCGTTAGGTGGTCCAATCTGGGCTCAACCTCCCATCCTGGAAGAGCTCACAACGCACATGTCTGCAGTGGTGCATCTTCCCAACACGCTAGCAAGCGCATCGGATCATTTGTTCAGATGGCGTCAGCCCAGCAAGGGACCTATATTCACCACAATCAATGATCAGCCCATGCTGCTAGATGGTGTCTACTCATATACATTGACGGGACTGACTCCAGGTGCAGCCTACACTGTACAGTATGGACAGCTGGTATTCGACCCGGAGACATTCAGCCCCATTGTCAAGTACAGCACTGCTGTCAAGTTCTCCGTGCCGAGTCTTGGTAAGGCTAAACGAGATCTACTTCCTCGTTTTCTCCCGATGTGTGTGTGTGGGGGGGGGGGGGGGCAGAAGCCATGAGAGATGAATGATATAGATGCATTGTGCCCAAAGTCCAGGAATACTAGCTGAGCTGAGCAGTTAGCTGCTGGCGGTCACTAGTAGAATTGTTTTAATGAGAAAGGAGAGCATTGGATTCACACGTTCCTATTGTAAAGCTGATCCCGTGACCCTTGTGACCCTTGTGACCCTTGTGACCCTTGAAGAACTTCTTTTCCCAATGTAAGAACAACAGGCATCAAACAGTACAGCCCCCCCCCCCCCCCCTCCCGAATGTGAGTTGATGACTGTCCATCCAGCTGCTCGTTTTTGACCTAGATTTAGGGCAATGAATATCCGATAGATGCTGACTTTTGCCTTTTGCCTTTTGCCTTCTGTGTGTGGGTGTGGGTGTGGGTGTGGGTGTTTGTGTCTGTGTGCTTGCACATGTATACAGACGCACCACTGTGGAATCATCCAGCTGTAGTATCGACGCTGCTGACGTCCAACAGTGCTGTTCTCAGGGAACCTCTGCTGCCTGCAGACAGCCCTGCCAGCAACTTCACCGCACAAACTAGATACCGAATGAGCAGCGGTGTGTGGTCTCCATGGCGACAGGCTACCCGTATATCTACCATTGACCAGCAGAGCAGAACACTGGTTGTCAGTGGCTTGCAGGCCGGTGTTTCTAATCAGATCCGCTTGGCTGCCATTCACAATGGCATGCCCAGCAGTCAGTTCTCTCCATCTCTTACTCTGCAGACTTTGGCCAGAGGTAAGCAGCTTTGAATGGTGTTGGAACAATATATTGTGCATTGTGCACACTGGCTAATAATATTAGTATACATTTTGCTCATTGCCCAATCCTTTCCTGCATTTCTTGCTTACTATAATTATGACAGGTAGTTTGTTGTTCTTGCTCTTGCTCATGTTGTTGTTCTTGTTGTTGATGGTGATGCTGGTATTGCTGTTCCTGCCACTGTCTTCTTTGTCACTGGTTTGTGTCGGTGTTGTTCTTTTTGCCTGCCATTCTTACGCAGATACACCGACTTGGCCACGTGTGCAGTTTGTTCGCCACCTGATCACCAGTAACAGCTTGACGGTGGCATTGCCCAGCAACTACCCGTTCACAAACACACTGTTCTACACACTGCAGCTGCGACGGCAGTTCTCCAGTGGCGACTGGACGCCGGCAAAGAACACGACCGTATCCTACGATGCCAGCGGGCTGTACCAGCTGACTGGCCTGCTCCCTGACAGTGTATATGAGGTCAGATACATAGCTCATGATCAAGCTGGACGGGTTTCACAACCCGGACCAGCTGCACAGCAACGCACTCTAATTTCAGGTAAGTTGAAAAGTTCACCTCCCTCAAGCTTATGAAATGTATTACAAGTCGAAGAAAATTGATGAACGGTTTCTGCTGGGATGACGACTCCACCATAGCTCAGTGGTTAGAGCATTGCTGGCCTCAAGCGAAGGTCCCTGGTTCGAGTCCTGGTGACAGTCAATTTTGTCTTTTGACTTTTTCCTTTCGCATCTTTCCTTCAAACCAGTGAAAATTAATTAGACATCAGAACGGTCCGGTCAACGGTCCAGTCAACAGTCCAGTCAACGGTCCAGTCAATATCGATTAATTGAATCCAATATTATGCAGAAGATTGTCAGCCTCCCATAGTTTGAAACTGATCAGACAATGGAAACTATCTTTTGCAGTGCTTGTATTTCCCCAGAACCTTGACATTTTTGGATTTTCTACTTTCTCCATTCTGTGTGCTGTCAAGGAAATGTAAATTTCCGATACCTGATGCAAGCTAACATGGGTGGCATTATGGGTGCGTGTGTGTGTGTATGTGTGTGTGTGTGTGTGTGTTGTGTGTGTGTGCCTCTCTGCATTTTGCTCATCAAACACTCCTGCCCACAACCACTTGTCCAGGCATACCAGCTGAGCCCCAGCAACCTACGATGTCTATACCGGAAGTCGGTGGAAGAGTGTACATTGATCTTCCCAGTCCATTCTCAGTTGATCCCGTAGATCATCCAGTTGACTACTTCATTGCACGCTACCGACCTATCTCTGACTCCGGAGAGCGTGGGCCCTGGCTATCAGAGCAAAGTGAAATGCTGTCTACTCTGATCAACCAGAGGTTCTACCTTCAAGGTTTGATGCCACGCACTATGTATGAGCTGGTCTTGCTGGGCGTAAACTCCGTGGGGCAGTCTACACCGAGTGTGCCAGCCACCTTCCTGACGGGATATCCAGGTAATTCACTCCTCTCGGTCTTTCTTGGACACAGCGTGTCCTTGTAGTTGAAACATTGGATTGTGTGCATTGCTGCGAGTTGTGCTTGTCTGTTGGCAGGAATGGGGCAGATTTTTCAAAAGCTGAACGTTGCCAGACAGGTTCTCTGGCTCTTAAAGGGGAAGTTAAGGCAAAAATTAAAATTTCACCAGTTGTAGTCTTCGGGGTGCTGAGTCGAATGGTCGTGGTCCGAGGAAGCTGAGACGCTCCCTTCCTACTTGAATCCCAATCGAACTCGCGCACTTCCACCGAAACTGGGTGACTGCGCCCTCCTAGATGGGGATTTGTATGCAAAATGTCACTAAAAGCGCCGTTTCGTTCTTATAAAAGCACGGATGACCGCGATTGGCCCATATGTTGTAGTCTTTTGGACGCTGAGTCGACTGGTTTTAGTCCGAAAAGGCTGCGATGCAGCGTTCCTCCTTTATTCCCAATCGAACATGGTTGAACAAGCGGTCACGTGCTCCTGCGTACGCCAGTCACCTGGTCACCGTGCCTGCAGGGTACAACTTACTAGCCTGTTTGACCTTTTTTGGGTGCAGTCCTGTCACTCGAGTTGAACTCGAGTTGAACCTTGGTGTGAAAGTTCTCGCCTGCTGGCGTGGTGACCAGGTGATTTGGGCACCCAGGAGCACGTGACCGCTTGTTCAACCATGTTCGATTGGGAATAAAGGAGGAACGCTGCATCACAGCCTTTTCGGACCAAAACCAGTCGACTCAGCGTCCAAAAGACTACAACATATGGGCCAATCGCGGTCATCCGTGCTTTTATAAGAACGAAACGGCGCTTTTAGTGACATTTTGCATACAAATCCCCATCTAGTAGGGCGCAGTCACCCAGTTTCGGTGGAAGTGCGCGAGTTCGATTGGGATTCAAGTAGGAAGGGAGCGTCTCAGCTTCCTCGGACCACGACCATTCGACTCAGCACCCCGAAGACTACAACTGGTGAAATTTTAATTTTTGCCTTAACTTCCCCTTTAACCCTTTGTGGGCGGACTGTACGAGTTTCGATCAACATTAATAAGATAGAAACTTGAAACGCGAATTTTTCTGGGCGCACCGCACATTTTCGGCGGTATTTTTACACAAATTGAAAGACGAAATCCATATCTTTCCAATGGTGCTAAATTCGCCGGGGGTCCCTAGTCAAAATGTTGACCAAATCGGCCGCGCAAGAAAAAAAATTGAGAGCTTGCGCGAGCATAATAATAATAATAATGATGACAGTTTGCATATCACTCATTGCATGAGGTCAACGCATCTGTTAACAATTTCGAGCCAAGCAGCTCTATCAGAAGCAGATTGCACAGCATCCAGAAGCAACAGATTAATGCATTGTAAGTCTTTCTTGACAACGTCGATCCATCTCAGACGTGGTCGTCCTCGGGGTCGTCCTCGGGGTCGTCGTATGTCTGTTGCGCGAGCATGCAGAACTAAAATTGCAGTACGAGTACTGTCATGGCACGACGCGGAAACGTCCTCCGCATGGATGCGGACGATGCCATCAGCATGATTCTGAACTGGAACTCTGACGAGGACAGTTCTGGCGACCCACTTGACGAGTCTGATGACGATGAGTTCGAAGTGGACAGTGATAGTGATGATGATATCCCAGAAATTCAAGAAAACAATTTATCTGATGGATTTGCTGATACTGCTAGTAGCGAGAGCGGCGGTGAGGAGGATGATGATGGACAGCTTATCCTATTTACTTTCCGAAAATGTATGGTGTTGTATTGGCTAATGTACACCGATTTCGAGTTATTACTGATTTTCGCATGTCGCTTCTTTCCTGTACAAATTTGGCATTCCATAAAGGGTTAATATCATGTGTCCGTGTGTGTGTGTGTGTGCGTGTGTGTGTTTGCGTGTGTGTGTGTTTGCGTGTGTTTGCTTACTGGGCAGGTCCTCCTCTGACTCCGCAGGCCCCAGCCATCAGTTCCAGCATCACCAGCCGTACAGTGACTGTCTCCCTGCCCAGCGTGGACTCCTACCCAAGATTACACCCAGTCACTGAGTACAGTATTATACGTACCACACTGCTGGATTCCGGCAGAGAAACCAGTCGCACCGACACACTATCCCCGGCAGATGTCAGACTGGTTGTCGTTGAAGACCTCACTCCCGGCACTACGTATAACATCCGTCTTCAGGCGCGCACCCCGGTTGGTTTCTCTGGCTTCACCAGCCCGGTCTCCTTCACAACGTTGGCTCTTGGTGAGTACCCACACAGCTTGGCTGAGTACCCACACAGCTTGGCTGAGTACCCACACAGCTTGGCTGAGTACCCACACAGCTTGGCTGAGTACCCACACAGCTTGGCTTAGTACCCACACAGCTTGGCTGAGTACCCACACAGCTTGGCTGAGTACCCACACAGCTTGGCTGAGTGCCCACACAGCTTGGCTGCTCATCTACGTTTACTGTAATGCTTGGATACAGCATTCACGAGTAACTCCAATGCTAGACAGGACAATGCTATGCAGGACAATGCTATGCAGGACAATGCTATGCAGGACAATGCTATACAGGACAATGCTATACAGGACAATGCTATGCAGGACAATGCTAGACAGGACAATGCTAGACAGGACAATGCTATGCAGGACAATGCTAGACAGGACAATGCTATGCAGGACAATGCTAGACAGGACAATGCTGGACAGGACAATGCTATGCAGGACAATGCTATACAGGACAATGCTATGCAGGACAATGCTATGCAGGACAATGCTATGCAGGACAATGCTATGCAGGACAATGATATACAGGACAATGCTATGCAGGACAATGCTATGCAGGACAATGCTATGCAGGACAATGCTAGACAGGACAATGCTATGCAGGACAATGCTAGACAGGACAATGCTATGCAGGACAATGCTGGACAGGACAATGCTATGCAGGACAATGCTAGACAGGACAATGCTATGCAGGACAATGCTAGACAGGACAATGCTATGCAGGACAATGCTAGACAGGACAATGCTATGCAGGACAATGCTAGACAGGGCAATGCTATGCAGGACAATGCTATGCAGGACAATGCTAGACAGGACAATGCTATGCAGGACAATGCTATGCAGGACAATGCTAGACAGGACAATGTTATGCAGGACAATGCTAGACAGGACAATGCTATGCAGGACAATGCTATCCAGGACAATGCACTGCATGGGGCTGGCTAGTAGTGTGCCATAGTCAAACGCTTAGATTGCTAAGTGCTGTATTTCGGTCCACACTTCAACCCCATGCGGATCAGTTCAGTTTATTGTTTTCCCTGTGCTTACACTTGTAATATATACGGCAAACAATTGTGTGGATTCTGCTGGGGTACACACTAAGTGCATTGATAAAGCCATCAGTGGTTTTGTCCAGTCGAATGAAAGGGTCAGATGGGAAGTAAAACTGCCCTCCTTGTGTGGCCCCTTGCATGCAGTGTTTGTCTGGATACTTCTCTTATCATGTGATCACTGACTGTCTACATGGTATGGGGTGGTGTTGGTGCTTGCAGTCCTGGTACTAGTGTTGGAGCAGAGGCAGCAGTACCAGTGGTGTTGGAGCAGAGGTCGGTACTGGTGGAGTTATCAGAGACTGGTAGTGCAAGTCCAGTACACCGTCAGCACTAGTCTCTCATCTCCATGCAGTGACACGGTGACATGGTGACTAGGCAACCGAGTGCTAGTACAATGGACTGCAATGATCAGCTGGCCAGAGTGTCTCCCACAGCGCTCAGCTGCTCATCTTGCCAGTATCGTTTCCATCCCCTCCTGTACCTGTCTGTATATCCATCCGTCCTTCTGTCTGCCTTTCTCTTCCAGGTGATCCCGTCCAGCCATCTGCACCGATCATTCTACCCAGCTCAACAAGCGCAAGTCTTGACGTACAGTTACCTGGTGCTGACTCAGTTCTAGTAGATCACCCAACTGAACGGTTTGGAATTAGCTTTGCAGCAATGCTGGAGGATGGTACATGGCCTGAGACGTATCAAGTGCTACCGCGAAGAATCCTAGCTGGAATGCCCGTGGCCACAATACAAAACCTTCTTCCTGATACTCGCTACAGGATCCGCTTGAATGCACATAACCGCCGTGGCATGTCGCTTTGGAGCCCGCCGTCCGAGGCCAGAACAATCCGCCAAGGTTGGTTGTGCATGTGGGTGTGCGTGTGGGCAGATGTTTGTGTGTGTGTGTGTGTGTGTGTGTGTGTGTGTGTGTGTGTGTGTGTGTGTGTGTGTGTGTGTGTGTGTGTGTGTGTGTGTGTGTGTGCATGTACGTGTGTGTGCATGTGTGTGCACATGTTCCACGCATGTTTACAGGTTAGCTTTGTGTGAGTACAATATCTATGTATGCATATGTATACATATGTCTGCATCTTATCCTCTGTGCTGTATTGGTATAGGTGAAGCAATACAACCACGCCAGCCAGTGGTATCGTCAATAGGCCGGACATACATCACCCTGAACCTCAGCCAGGTCCTGTCTTCAGCGAATAGTGACCATCCACTGTCTCACGTTGCTATCTCCGTCACTTCTCCTCAAGCTAACACCAGCTTCACACGCGAGGTTTCAGCGGATGACCTAATGTACAACGAGGGTCTGTATCGTATCGAAGGAAGCTTGATCCTCCCCAGCACTGTGTACAGCATCCGACTGCAGACTCGCAATGCCATGACACTATCGGAACAAGGTCCCGAGACACAGGTCACAACCTGGACTGCAGGTAGGTCAACCCAAGACACAGACACATACATTATGACAGGTTTATTATGACAGGTTTTGATGTTGACGATTATGATAATGGTACTTTGAGTTTGGAGGTTGGTTGAGCTCCACGCCTACAATCATATGTTTGGTGTTTGCTCCTGTCGCTTGTGTATTGCCGTACAGAACCTCTGCAGCCCAGTGCACCGACATTCCTACCAAAGAGGACTAGCTACTCTGTAGTTCTGCTTCTACCCAGCGATGTGCATCCCGATGATCCTGTATCATACTACACCGTGCAATATCGCAACCGTACTGCACAGTCCTGGACAGAGCTGCCCATGCAGGTATGCTAGTCATGATGACAATGATGTCATTGTGATGTCATCATGATGTCATCATGAGTCGGATTCATGACATTGACACCAGTGTCTGCATATAGACTAGCTGAAGATTCTGTTAGTTTGCTAATGACTTCTTTGGCTGAGTACTGAACTGTGCAGCATATGCACTCCACACTGCTGCTGCAGTTTCTCAGAAGCTTCTCGTCTAAACTTCACTGAAACTGTCCTAGTAGCGATTGCATCTACTTGTCTTTCCCATGTATACCGTACTTCCGCACATATAAGCGCATGTGCTTATGTCCGGACAGAAGCGCACCCCTCAATTATAAGCGCATGTGCTTATATGTGAACACTATTGGTGAAACACCCGGGAGCTGAATATACTGCTAAGCATTGTGATAACACCTTTGTTTAGGAAACAGACAAACCTGTATTGCACATATAACTTATTATAAGCGCATGGGCTTCTACCCGAACATGTTCACACAGCAAAAAATATTTTTGTAGCAAATTTTCACTTATAAGCCCATGGGCTTATATGTGGGGAAGTACGGTATTTGTTTGCTGCTATGCCCATTATCATCCCTGCTCCCTTGATACTCCCTTGAAAAGCAGCCATTCTCCCAGGAGAGTTTCTAGTAAGGTGCCCTATACACGGACATGCTGTATGTTTGTGTATGTGCGCGTGTGTGCACGTTTGTGTGTGTGTGTGTGTGTGTGTGTGTGTGTGTGTGTGTGCGTGTGTGCGTGTGTGTGTGAATCTGATCTTCACTCTGCCATAGATTGCTGGCGATAGTGGTGAATACGTACTGAGTGGTCTGAACGCGGACACTACGTATGACGTGCAGCTGTTTGCTCACAACGATGCCGGCCGCTCACCTGCTAGTCAGACCAGTAGTTTCACCACACCAGCAACAGGTCAGTACAGACTGTGTTTCACCTACACCTACGCTGCTGGGAACCTTGCAGGCTATCATATCCATACTGCTTAGTAACTACCTTGTACTGCAATCTGTGTGTCTGTCCGTGTGTCTGTCCATGTGTCTATCCGTGTGTCTGCCTGTGTGTCTGTCTATTTGTCTCTGTACATGTGCCTGTGTGTGTGTCCGTGATATGTGTTGTTCGTATGTAACACTGCATGAATGTGTATATGTGTGTGTGTGTGTGTGTGTGTGTGTGTGTGTGTGTGTGTGTGTGTGTGTGTGTGTGTGTGTGTGTGTCAATGTGTGTACCTGTGCACATGTATCGTTTCTGACTTGCAGGTACTGCTCTGATACCGTCTCCACCGACGGTTGGCTTGAGCATCAGCAGCAGTGTGATACCAATCATCCCGCCGCCTGTACACACTACCGACAGTGGCAGTAGCAGTGACACTACACCCAGTACACCTCTGCATCCCGTTGACTACTTCCGATTGGCCTACACACCAGGAAACTCAGCGTCGCGTGTCACCATTCCCGACATGCTACCCGTCAGCACGTCCATGTATGAATTCACCGTACCCGCTGCACTGCTCGGTGTCTTCAAGCAGTTCCGCTTCCAAGCCAGGGCTGGAAACGCCCTGGGTGTGTCGGACTGGAGTGAGCCTGTCCTGGCCACTCTCATTGAGCCTGGTGAGTGGAAAAACGCTGTCTTCTACTCACTGCCACATTTTTACTTGTTTAGTATTCTAGTTCAGCTGGGTCCGTGACCCAGTAATGCAAATTATTGAGACATTCCTAAAATGACAAGTACACTATGAAGAAGCCTTAACGAGCTTAGTGTTATGAATATTGCTATGAAGGAGGCTGGAGTCCTGGGCTGCTCGACTCTTGAGCTTGTTTCCTACCCTGCCAAAGCAAGATCCAAGCCACAGCCACCCAACTCCTTGATAGTTGTTGTGTTTACACCAAGGCTTTTGACTGTTGATTGGCTATGTGCATCTGTGTGTGTGTGTGTGTGTGTCTGTGTCTGTGTCTGTGTGTGTCTGTGTGTGTCTGTGTCTGTGTCTGTTGTGTGTGCATGTGTGTGCCTGTGTGTGTGCGTGTGTGTGCGTGTGTGTGTGTGTCTGTCTGTGTTGTGTGTCCGTTCGTGTGTATTTGCTTGCGTCCATGTGTGTCTGTATGCTGCTGTGTGTGCTTACTGTAGGCATACCCATTGTCCCAGGTGTACCTCTGTTCTCCGATATCAGCATTGACAGCTTCACAGTATCCAGGCCAGAGTTCACCGAGGCCATCACTGCACATCCTCTGAGTGAGTTCAATGTCAGCGTGACACGCTTGGATCGCCAACGCAATCGTTTTGTCCCGTGCAGCAACTGTACGTTCTACGTGAGCAGTGTGTTTGGCAACGACACACTGGTTGTCAGCAATGTCCCACCTGCCACGATGTATGAAGTGTGCATCAGTGCTGTGTCGGCTGATACCCAGCAGACGTCTGCGTTTGGTCCGTGTGCCAGAGTCACCACTGCCGGATTAGGTGAGGGCTCATTCTCAACTCTCTCTCTCTCATTCTCCTATCCTAAAGTACTCTCTTTCCTCCTACATGTTTCACTTCACTTCATGCACCTGTCAGTTCTCTTTCTTTGTTTGTTTGATGTCCCATGACGCCGAGATTCCAGGTCGGCTGAGAGTGGCAAGCCTGGCCATCACAATGCTCCTATTGTGCAATAGTTTTTTGTCTGTGATCTGTGATCAGAGTAAAACATCTGAGCAGGAAATAAGCTGTTTGTGTTGGTACGAGTCCTGCTTGTCAGGCAGCGGGCATTATGACCAATATGCCATGTAACACACTTTTGAGAAACCCTGCATCCACGGCGGCTTGCGTTTACAGATGTGTACAATGTCATGTTTTACATGGGGTTCCATTCCCTCAATGAAGGCTGCCTCCGTCATGTTTGATGCACTCTCTGTGTGTTTTACATGGGGTTCCATTCCCTCAATGAAGGCTGCCTCCGTCATGTTTGATGCACTCTCTGTGTGTTTTACATGGGGTTCCATTCCCTCAATGAAGGCTGCCTCCGTCATGTTTGATGCACTCTCTGTGTGCTGTGATGCATGAAATTTGCATCGATCATGTGGCTATTCCTTCCATCAACCCACCTGTGCGTTAAATGTCTCTATTTTTGTGATATGTGATGTCCATTTCGTTTCCCCTCTCTCTTTCTTCTGCATTAGACTGCCCTGTGGGTGTTGATGATGATGCGCGCATACTCCAAGACGGTGACATTGCACGCCTGTTCAACACCATCACTATTAACCAGCTGGCTAGTACCCGACCTAGTGCCGACATCCTGTTTGTTGTGGATGAATCCAGAACTCTCCAGGGCGTTCACCAGGTGCTGGGAGAACTCGCGCAAACACTGGAGGCACGTCTCTCCGCAGCGGGTATTGGCACGGTCGTGGAAAACCAGTACTCTGTGACGGGATTTGCCGGCGAGCACAATGGTGATACATCACCGGCCCGTGTCATCCCAGTACACGGTAATGTATTGTACAATGTGTCGGATGTGGAGATGGCCGCGCAGTCTCTGGCCACCAATGCACGCCGCGAAGACGGTTACTGTGCAATACAGCACGCGCTGGACGCGTACCGATCGTCGCATTCAGCCTCCAGCTCCTCAGCTCTTGTAGTTGTTCTCGTGACCGACGAAGATCGCGATGTGGTGTGTCCCGGTACAACGTACAACTCGACTTACAATGACTTGCTGAGTGCTAATGGTGTTCTGCATATCCTAGTCAAGCAACAGTATGCTGCAGGTGCAATGATGGTCAGTGGTGTGGACAAAGCTGGTAATGGATTCCATCTGAACACATCTGCAAGGCATGGCTATGACATGTGAGTAGCGCTACTCTCTACACCGCTTGTTGCTAGCTACAGTTGTGCTGTTTTCTTTGTCTTGTCTTTTCCTTCATCGTCAGTGTTCCACGAGTTTCCTTGTCATTCAGTAGTGCTGTGTACATGTGTGTGTGGGGGGGGGGGGGGCTATTGAACCGTGGCTAGTGTAGCACTGGCAACCCACTGTACGCCTGCACTATTGTAAGAATATCTTTTTTTTTGACATACGGTTATACACAGAATTGAATTTCATTTCTGCTGTAGATAATTTTCTCTGTCTGTCCAGCCACGGCATCCATCTATCCACTCCATCCATCCATCCATCCATCCATCCATTCATCTATCCATCCGTCCATCCATCAATCCATCCATCCATTCATCCACCCATCCATCCATCCGTCCATCCCCTCATCCATTCATCCACCCATCCATCCATCCATTCATCCACCCATTCATCCATCCGTTCATCCATCCAGCCACCCATACATACATCTATCCACCCATACATACATCCATCCATGCACCCATCCATCCATGCACCCATCCATCCATCCATCCATCCATGCACCCATCCATCCGTACATCCACCGATCCCGTCGTCCATCCACCCATCAATCCGTCCATCCATCCACCCATCCATCCACCCATCCATCCACCCATCCATCTATCCACCCCATCCATCCACCCATCCATCCATCCACCCATCCATCCATCCATCCATCCATCCATCCATGCACCCATCCATCCATTCATCCACTTATCCATCCGCCCATCCATCCATCCATCCACCCATCCGCCCATCCATCCATTCATTCAAGTTTCTTTCTGTGTGTGTGTGTGTGTGTGTGTGTGTGTGCGTGTGCGTGTGCGCGTGCGCGTGCGTGTGTGCGTGTGCGTGTGCGTGTGTGTGTGTGTGTGTGTGTGTGTGTGTGTGTGTGTATGTGCATACAAACACTGACAGGGTCTACAATGCTGAGGCACTATCAGACTCTGGACATGGCACCACACAGAGTGACTACACAGAGCTTGCACTGGCACTTGACGGCACCGCGTGGAGCGTAGCCGATCTCGTTGACCTGCTGGCAAGCAACCTCTCCACCGATGCCTACGCTAATGCCTTTGCTGATCGGGTGTCTTCGTCAGTCGTGTCCCAGCTCCTGGCCTGTCAGGAGTGTATGTGCACATCCGGGTCCTTGTCGTGTCACTCGCTGCCTTCTCGACAGCAGGAGGATATCTGCGTGTCCGGTAGGTGTGCATGTCTGCATGTTAACCACCGCATGTTCACAGTGGCATGTTAACCACCGCATGTTCACATGTTCACAGTGGCGCAGATTGCTCATGCATCAAGTCTTTATGAGGCGCTGGTTGAATTCTTGAGATCACTGTACATGAGATGCATACGGCTAGGACGTAGGCATGCAGCATGTGGTGTCCATGTAATTACAGCGTTGCTGCTGCCCTGCTATGCTTCATGTCTCTATCATGTAATCAAACCGATGGCAACTGAAATCCGACCCCCTGAGCGATGTGTTGACTTTCTAGCGGCCTCGTAGCGTTACAATCCCATGCCGGGTCTTTGCGATGTGAGGGGGGGGGGGTCGGATTTCAGTTGCCATCATTGTACATGTATGTGATGGCTATGTACATGTACGGTGAAACTTCAGTATAACATACACCCCCAGGTGGTGTAACATCTGCACTTATAGCCATGCTACTTACACTATCCAAGGGCAAATGACTGGAGAGTGATATGCAGCAGGGTCTTAAATAATACGTTACATCCATCGCAAGGTGAAAGGTATGCTATTCCCAGGGGTGCTTTATACTGAAATCTCACTTGTTTGTAGTTGATATACTTGTGCTTCAATTTCCCTGTTTTCAGGTGAACCACCCGTCGTAGAAGCTGTCGACAGTCAACTAACTGTGTCGGTGAACAAGCCACTTACACTGGAGTGCACATTGCAAGCCTATCCTAAAGTACCCCTGACGTGGGAAAGGAGTGATCTTGAACCCATCGATCAATCCTGGATCAACGCAGCTACCAATCAACTGACCATACCGCATGTAACAGCCGATCTTGTCGGTACCTACCTGTGCGTGGCGGAGAATCTCTTTGCTGCTGACTCTGCAACTATTGACGTGTCGGTGACTTGTAAGTTTCATTGTGTCCTGTGTTTCTGTTTGTTTTGTTCACCTCCTCTGTGCTGCCTCGCTCGTAAGGGTGGTATGCTGGATGTGTTTTGTTTGTGTGTAGTTGCACCAGGTATTTTGAAGACCTGTTTGAGCCATCACCGTTAATATGGCTTACCAATGACTGCTGCATGTTCTGTTGTCTGTTGAATCCATGCGCTTGCAGACCCGACTCAGTGCGAGCGACAAGGACAAGAGCTTCCCATCAACGGCACTGGTGAGTTTATCCGCACCCTGGGTGACGACGGTGTGGCCGTGGACTTTGTGTGGCTGGTCGACCAGTCGCGGAGTATGATTGAGGAGCACCGCTTGCTTTCAAACATCACCAGCATCCTTGATATCAGCTTCACAGCCGCCGCCCTGAGTCATGGCGTTCAGCCCAGCAACGACTCCAACCGGTTTGGTCTGGTAGGGTTCGGCGGTGAAGACGATCAACTGGCAAAGGGCGTACCAATCCGAATGGGTAACGGCGCCCTGTTCGGCAATGCCGAAGAGCTGGGCACGGCGACGGAACACTTGGAGACGTCTGGCAGCATGGAAGACGGCTATCACGCCGCCTACGTGGCTCTCACTCGGTATCCATTCCGTCCCGGTGCCGTGTGTCACCTGCTACTTGCCACGGACGAAGGCCGTACTCAGCTAGCAGACGTCATCGAGTTTGACACCATCAAGGAGGCCATACTGGCTAGCAACTGCACACTGCATGTTCTGGTTAACGAGGAGTTTGACGGCAATGCGCTGGGTATATCACACAGCAGAGATGCATTCTTTGAGCATGCCAACGGTTCGTTCTCCCTGGTCCCCGGCGCTGGCATAGCTTTCCCACAATCAGGCCATGGAGATACTCATCAGGCGTATGTTGAACTAGCATTTGCCACACAGGGTTCGGCGTGGAATCTGAAGCGACTCCGGAACGGCGGCTCATCCGTGGACGCGTTCTCCAACGCTCTGTCGGCATTGACTCGTCGTAGTACGTACGGACAGCTGTGTGATGTGTGCACGTGTCAGTACGATGGAGAGTTCCTTTGTCAGGACTGTATGGCATAATGTGAGTATGACTAGGACCCCAACTGCTTCTGTTGGTATTCCTGCCCCTTCTGCTGCTGCTGCTTCTGTTAGTACTCCTGCCTCTTCTGCTGCTGCTGTTGCTGCTACTTCTCCTCCTTTGCTGTTGTGGCTGCTGCTGTTGTGGCTGCTGCTGCTGTATTGACAACTACCCATGATATGGATTTTTCCAGGCTATGTGCAAACTGAAGGTGAATTCTGAGGCATTTTAAAACAAATAGTGTATAGGGGATGGACTCGGATGGAGAGCCAAGGATTAATTTATAGCAAAGAAAAGGTCAGTCAAGTCAGTCAGTCAGGTCAGTGTCGTGCAATGTTATCGCATGAGCTGATTGTCAATTAACTGGTGGTGTTAGTGGACATTATAGCGTAACTTGTAGTTCCTTGGTCCTTTTCTTTGCTATAAATAAATAGGGGAATTACCCTATTCTGTTCAATAAGCTCAGCAGAAATGTGACCTTCTTACTTCGAATACAATGTATGCATTACGGGGCCTCGAAGTTTGGAAATTGCTTTTTCGTACTTTCAAGCTACTGTAAGTACAACAAAATGCGAATATTATTTCTAGGGTCTATGCATGCCAGAGAACAACTTAGAACAGAGAAAACCGCGCTTATTCTGTAAAAGCTTTTCCAATGCCAAAGGGCTTTGAGCGTATACAACGTCTACGAGTTTTTCATGGCTTCTGTTCTTTACCCATTGTGCAAACTCAAGCTGGATACAAATCTATTTCTTTCCTTGGTGCTGACCGCTTTAATGCGCTTCCCGAATCCGTTCGCACTAATCATATCCCCAATTCATTTCACCAGGAACTTAACACATTCATTCATCTCCGGCACCCTGTAAGAAGACCGTCGGGTCTGTTGGGAATGCCCAGGTAAAATAATACTATACTATACAATACAATACAAATGGCTTTCAGTGCGCTGCTCCAGCTATGGCTGTGGTGTCCACGTAGACAGCTTAGCATGTATGTACTGTGCGGCATGTTCGTTTGCAGAATACTTCACCCTATCATCAACTCGACTACTATCTGACATTTTGGAAGAGGACGAGAAAGCGATAGCAACTCACCTATCCATCCCTCAACTTATCATTATAAACACTGGAAACATTTCCGCCATTGTGTTTGAGTGTAATTGTTAGCCATAGGCACGTCTTTTGGACCATAATGTTTTGTTCCCAGTGCATGCAAGAAAGGGCATTCTCCTGTGCTATATTCTGAACAAAGTTGCTGCCATGGTTTTCACATTGTTCTGTGAGATGCTATTGCTATCTGCCCCCTTTAATAGTGGCCAGTTTAACTAAATTGTGCGACGAAGACAACTGTTTGCTAGGCACATATGCTGTATGCCTTTTCCCTATCCTTGCGTCTGCATTCCACCAACTCGGTTGTCAAGCCACCTGCTTACATGGCTAGCTTGCAGCAATCCTAATTATTGAATTTCTACCCGTGTTAAGAAAACAGTACATTGCATACTGTACAAGTACTCTACAATCACTTTGTTAATTATTGTATTTTGTGAAATGCTTGGCACACAGACTAAGCACCTGCTAAACCATTGCTAAACCATTGCTAAACCATTGCGATGTTGTCGCATCTCACTGGTGTACTGTGTGTGTGCGTGCAAGTGCGTGTATGTTGGGGGGGGGGGGAGGGGGCATACATGTACCGGTATACTATGTTGGCCAATGCTGCACATGGTAGTCGATAAAAATGTGCATTTTCTCTGGCCTGCTGCCAGAATGGCTGGGTAAAAAAAGTAAATGATCGTGTCCGTTCCCGAAGGGAACTCACGACGGCCGCTAACACCCGGTAAAGCTACCTTCTCCACATAGAGTTGACCCATGCTGGTACATAGCTGCATATGTCTTGCTCCATTCTCCAGATACACGTGCTGTGGCCGCGCAGGACATCCATGTACATAGCCTAGGGTTTGTTCAGAGGTTGCAGATCGGATGTGAACAGGCGTGATACTACTGGAGAACTCTGATTGGCATAATTATCAGCACACCAACACGCATGCCGTGACATTTGAAGGGTCTACATGTGCGCTGTGACCCGATCCGGCCGGACCTTAGTTCGAAAAAAAGGTAACCTACCGAAAAAGGGCATTTCGTCAATACTGATCGTTTTCAGCGAATAGTAGAGAGGTTGTTTTAAAAGTTGCACGTTATTTCCGACGTGACGCGCAATTTCACGTCAAATTTGGCGTAAAACTCCCAATTTCGACATGAGCCGCAAGTCACGTGCGTTGTTTTTCGATGCGCGAGCCAAATAACGCGAGCTGAACTTTCGCGTCGCGTCAGAAATAGCGTGCATCTTTTTAAACCTCTCTAGTATCCCCATTTGGCTGTACCACCTGAAATCCCAGTGCTATGACCATGATGACCCTGTGGACTGTTATCCATTATGATGATGCATGCTTGCACATGTCAGCATGGCCAAGGCCAAGAAAAACAACAACAAAAATGGAAGTATTTACTATTCAGAATGACAGTCCAGCTGTCAAATCAATGAAAGACAGTCCTGCTGTAGTGCTGAAATAACGTAAGTTGAATAAATTCACACGTCAAAATAGTGTGAATCGGATTGGTTGTGTATTAACTAAACTGTTCGTCCAGTATAAGCCATGGTAGACTGGCTAGTTGACTTCGCGGACTTGGAAATCGTAGTGCCCCGATCCCACTTCGAAAACGATTGCATTCTCCAGTCCTAGCATCCCACCACCAGTTATTCCGGGTGCGCCGGGCCAATGGAAGAAATTGTTGATCCAGATCAGGTTATTGCCCTCATAGATAGTCACGTTCTCGGCCGGTGGGAACACGGATTCTCCGAGAGTGGAAGTGCAGATGACGCGTTGAGGTAGATAGACGGAAGCGTTGGTGTTGACTGGAATGTCCACGTGCAACGTAAAGACGGTGTGGTCGGCATCTGGCTTCTGCTGGCTCCACGTCACGCTTATTGGACCACGGACGCTGTCATACGTACCCTGAGCACCTTCCAAATCCAGCAGCATGGAGCCTTCGGACTCTCTGCAGGCTTGTCCGATTGTCTGATTGTTAAAGTAGGTGACAGGTGGACGGATTATAATCTGCTCGAAACCTGGCATTTTGGGCTTGATGCCGAGACCGACTTCATAGAGCCATGATCCATGTGATCCTAGGAATATATGGTCATGCGTTGGTGCTGGAGGGTGAGTTTCGTCGGCAACTCCCGACCAGTTCTCCCAGAGCGATGTAGCTCCCTGCATGATCCAGTGTCCCCACGACGGGAACGTACTCTGGTTGGCCAGAGCCACAGCAATGTCGGGTCTGCCCAGTCCAGTAACAACGGGCAAGAGAAAGCGAGTACCAACCGCCCCCGTGGTCAAATGCATGTCATGCTTTGTGACAATATCGTCCAGAAGATTCGCCTCCACTTTGTCCTTCACATCATCCGGAACGTACTTTCCAAAAATCGGCAGCAGATTGACAGTCTGTGTACCATCTACATACGCACCGATGCTGTCGTTGTAGAAGTACTTGTTGAATGGCTCCACCAGCTTGTTGTGCAGCTGCAAGTACTTCACCGCGTCTTCCTCGTTGCCTAAGAGACCGGCAAAGCCAGACAGCAGCTGTATGTCCAGCATGTAATGGAAGCAGGCGGAGATGGGACCGGTGGTGGGTATCTCTTGAGTGCGCGGGTACATGTTGCACCAGTCACCGTACTTGTGGTACAACAGTAGGCCAGTGGCAGCATCTGTGGTCGTTGTCAGGTAGTCCACGTAGGCTTTGTAGCCAGCATAGTGCTGTTCAATGAGCTCACGATCGCCATACTGCTGGTACATGTAGAACGATATGAGCGGGTATGCTGAGCTCCACGTTGCGTCCGTTTTGCCGCCCACGGCTCCCGGGACAATGTCCGGCACTACCCCGGTTTTGCCGGCTTCTTGCACGTCGGCCATGGTGCGAATCCAGTTCGTGTAGAACGCGGCCATGTCGTAGTTCCACATGGCCACCGGCGCCGTCACCTGGGCATCGCCCATCCAGCCGCGCTTCTCGCGATTCGGACAGTCGGTCGGTACCGACATGAGATTGCTGGCCTGTGTTCGGCGGATCGCAACTTGCACTTCCGTCATCAGCCGTCCGGTGGTGTCGGCGGGCAAGAAGGAAACGTCGCCGTGGGATCGCAATGCAGATGTCGTGGGCAGCATCAGCAGTTTGATCTGATCAGCCGACTGCAGGCCAGTTACCTGTGCGTACTGGAAACCGTAGTATACCCAGCTGGGTGCCCACGCCTCATCCACCTTGCCACCTTTGCTAACATACACTGTCGTCATGTTGACCGACAGCTGATTATGAACAGTGCCATCGGAAGCCAACTCTTCGCCTTTCATGATGGAGATGACTGCTCCGGGTGCGGTGTCATGGTAATCAATGATACACACTCCGGCCAGGTTCACGCCAAAGTCAAACACAAACACGTGAGGTTTGACTTCCTTGACGCTGGCCGGCTGGATGGGTTCCAATGGCGACGAGATGTGTGTCATTGGCTGAGCCGAGAGCTCACCAACCGCCGGCGGCGAAGGTGCACTCACTCGTAGCTGTTCCCCTGATAGTGGTGCCGCATCACCTTGACGCCGTACCCCACCATCACGTGTATCAGTTCCACATGCTACACTAACGGACAGGTGCTTGGCTGTAAGGTGGCACGGATCACCAAACAGATGCCGGCTAGCATGGACATGGCATCTCCTCTGGCCCAAGCATTGGGCCTTGACGATTGCCGTTGAATTATCGGCGCTGCATGCAGTCGTCAAAGCAAAGTTATTGCCACTACCAGTGCAGGACTGGCATTTGCCGGTCGGCGTGCCAAACGATGCAAACTTTACATCTGCAATGACTTCGCCTGGCTCTGAACAGCCAAGTGTCGCCATCGCGTTCTCAGCGACGACAGCACAGGTTTGAACAGCTGGTGAGTATGCATGCAGCCATGTGCGGTCGTCCAGAGTAGGGTCATCCCAGTGAGGTATCTCCAGCTGTGCATCATAGTGCTCTCCCAGGTACATGTCACTGAATGTGCATGGGTCATCGTGGAACTTCCATGTGCTCTCAATCTCGGTTTTACCGGCACTGGCACCGACTGCTGCACCCATACCGGCACTGCGGTCTTGTTTCTTAGCGTGAGTGCTGGAGTTGCTGCAACCTCCGCTGACGCCATGCGAGCGTACTACGTATTCCTCGCCGTCCGTCGTTGTGATGTGCAGCTGCACCAATGCCCACAGGCTGGGGTTGCCATCGTGCGCCCAGAACCCTGGTCCCAAGCGTAACGCCAGCACGTTCTTACCCGCCAGCACGTCATACTCGTACGTGTCATACAGAACGCGTTTCGGCCAGTGGGTCTGCGGACCAAGCTTGCGCTGCGCATGCTGCTGAGCACCGCTTTGCCATAGCTGGTAGTAACCCAGGCCAGTCAGGTACAGACGTGTGCGTGCTATGGGTTTCGCAGGCAATTGAAACACACCCCTCACCATCTGTGTGCGTGGTTGTGCCGGAGCACCAATGACATCACCACCGCGTGCCGATTCAGCCGGTGTGGTGATCCAGTCAGCCATCCATTCAGCCTGCGACATCAGGGCTGTGGAGAACATACCCGGTTCAGACCAGTCCGAAGTTTCTGTGGTCGTTGAATACCATCGCACCTGAAAATAGTAGTCGCTATCGCTCTCCAATGGCGGAAGGCTCAGCGTGGATTTGTACTTGTTCGACGGGAACAGGTTCCTATTGTTGACGATCTTTCCAATGTTCCAGACCAGCTTCGCGGTGGTGGGATCTTTGCTACCGGTGCGAGGAAACTGGTAGAGCTGGATCTCGTACGCAAACTGGCGCACTGCGCGCTGCGATGTGTTCGACACACCAACCTGCCATTGCAAGCGTGGGTATGGCTTGTCGATACCAATAGGTCGCAGGCCCACGTGTCCCGGTACGTTTCCACCGCACTCTAAGTACTCCACGCCCAGATGATTCGGCGGAAGGAGCGCACCATTTCCAGATTGGACCAACACTCCCGCGACAATGCTAGCCACAAACAACATCCAGCCGTAAAGAGATAAATGAGAATTCCTCTTCGAACCTTCCATCCTTATTTACAGTTCACCGGGAGCAAACCGCGCACAAAGGAAAAATGATGCTACCGACCTATCAATGAGACGGACAGGGTCGGACACCGCGGAACATCTGATTCGACGGAGACGAAATGGACGCTGCCGCACTGCGGCAGGGATAATGACTCCGAGGATGACTATTGAAAGCTACAATACTCAATAGCACAACTCATGTATCATAGTGTAGTTTGGTGATAGGCATTAGCATGATAACAGTGTTATGTCAGTGTCAGTGGCGACCGAGTCAGGCCAAGTAAAGACTGCTCTGCACTCTGCAGTTGGGTAAAACAAGTCAGTAGAGGTCCACCCCCTCGGCGACAGCTCATGCACCAGTGACCATGTACAATGCGGTCCTTGCCCATGCTTGCAACCGGCCGGCCAGAGAGTCGTATAAATTTTTTATCACTCCCTTAGTATTGACTCCAATTGATTTTCGCTATACCTAAGCAGTCAAATATGTATAGGATATTGACCAAGACGAGGTCTATATGGGAAATATAGGCCGAGTAAAAGACCGAGGTCCGCCGAGGTCTTTTACGAGGCCTATATTTCCCATATAGACCGAAGTCGAGGTCAATATCCTATTTTTATCACTCCCTTAGTATTGACTCACATAGATTTTTGCCATACCTAAGCAGTCAAATATTCCTGCATATTTCACTCCTTAGGGCTATATTAATGACTGCTTATATTTGACTGCTTGCCCCCCCCCCCCCCTAGGCCAAGTTAGGGTTGCGCAGTTGAACGGTGCCTAGTGCAGCATTGTCACTGCATGAGTAGGTGGTGGTGCAACGGTTGTGCAATCATAAAACCGGGATTCATGAGGTTATCGTTCTGGAATTTGAAATACGGACTGTTTGTCGTGATAAATCTAATATTGACTTCGTACTTGGTCAGTATAGGAAATAAAACCTCGTAAAAGACCTCGGCTTCGCCTCGGTCTTTTACTCGGCTTTTATTTCCTATATTGACCTCGTACTCAGTCAATATTAGATACATATTTCACTCTTTAGGGCTATATTGACTGCTTATATTTGACTGCTTAGGGGTTGCGCAGTTGAACGGTGCCTTGTGCAGCATTGTCACGGCATGAGTAGGTGGTGGTGCAACGGTTGTGCAATCATAAAACCGGGATTGGTTATCGTTCTGGAATTTGAAATACGGACTGTTTGTTGTGATAAATCTAATATTGACTTCGTACTTGGTCAGTATAGGAAATAAAACCTCGTAAAAGACCTCGGCTTCGAATACCGGTATTCAATATTAGATACATGTATATGTACTTATACTGAGCTTGTATACAAACTCCCATCTCTCCCCACACAACACTCCAGACTTGTATTTTGCATATAACAGGTACTTCGATGACGAGAATATAAACTGGTATATAAACTGGTGTATAAACTGGTGTATAAACTGGTATCTAAACTCCTTTTTTTTAGGATCACACTAGGGGAGTTTGTATATCAGCTCAGTATAAGCATAATATAACCTACTCAGTTGATTATATGGGAAATATAAACCAATATACAAACCTCGGCTTCGCCTCGGTTTGTATACAGGTTTATATTTCCCATATAATCAACTGGTTAGGTTACGTATGTATCTAATATTAGGGAGGTTTATTAGTCCCACGTAATCCGTGGGTACTTTACGTGGGTGCACCACGTGATACTCAGTGCAGTGACCCACGTTAGTGCTGACCCGAATTTGCTAGCAATTCTTCTAGCAAAATATCGAAGAATTTTGAAAGGGAATTTGCTGGCAAAATGGAGCAAAATATCGGTGTGTTGGCTGGGAATTGGGAGATTTTACACATATACGGTGCACATGACTCATTTCGGCACAATTTTACCAACACGTGACTCACTTTTTCTCATTTTTGCCAACACGTAACCCACTTTCGGTCAGTTTTCTCACACGTGACACAAATTTTGGAGCAAAAAGGGAGCAAAATATCGAGTGGCCTAGCAAAATGAAAGCAAAATTTCGACGATGCACGAGCAAAATTATGCCGCAAAATATCGAGATTCAGCTGGCAAATTCGGGTCAGCACTAACCCACGTACAGACGTTTTCTGATTCACGACATTCCGCCAGAACGTGGGTGAAAATCAGAATGGAGCGCATTGTGCGAGCTGTGAGGGTGCTCAGCTGAATAAGTTTCCGAAGCACGAAATCAAAATATTGGATGAGCTTCTTAGGCCGGGGTAGCTTCGTCTTTGACCAGGTTTGACCTTTCGCTTCATGCTTTTGTTTGTTCCGTGTGCTAAACACAACATTGCAACGTGGGTGCCCTTCATCCACTTTACGTGGATCACCCACGTACGCGTTTCCGTTACGTGGGAACTAAACCTCCCTATTGACTGAGTACGAGGTCAATATAGGAAATACTGTAAAAGCAGAAATTTTCGGTGGTGTAATATTTTCGGTATTCGCCAAAATCGGCGGTTCGGTAGCGGGAAAGTTTCGGTAAAACCCATTTTCCAGGTAAGTGTACTAGTACTACAGGTATACAGTAAAAATGAGTATTGGTTGTACCGACAATTTCGGTGCGTTTTATTTTCGGTAAAAATTGTCGGCACCGAAGTTACCGAAAATAAAACACCACCGAAAATTTCTGCTTTTACAGTAAAAGCCGAGTAAAAGACCGAGGCGAAGCCGAGGTCTTTTACGAGGTTTTATTTCCTATACTGACCAAGTCAATCATGATTAGATTTATCACGACAAACAGTCCGTATTTCAAATTCCAAAACGATAACCTCATGAATCCCGGTTTTATGATTGCACAACCGTTGCACCACCACCCACTCATGCAGTGACAATGCTGCACTAGGCACCGTTCAACTGCGCAACCCCTAAGCAGTCAAATATAAGCAGTCAATATAGCCCTAAGGAGTGAAATATGCAGGAATATTTGACTGCTTAGGTATGGCAAAAATCTATGTGAGTCAATACTAAGGGAGTGATAATACAATGTATACGACTCCCTGCTACCGGCACACCGTCCATTATTGCATCTCAGCGTATACATATTGTAGACTACACAGCGGCTACCGTTGGCATGTTCACCCTGGCTGCCGCATCTTTTACTTTCAGGTACTACTAGTAACTTATCTTCTTCTTTGTTCGGTTTGTCCGCTTATTTTTATATATTTTTATTTTCTCTATTTTTTCTTTTCTCTTATTATCAGTGGGACCATTGTCATAAGGTTTAGGCCTGTTTTGGAACTCCACTCTAAATAAAGCCAAACAACAGGTAAATAGTTACCATGATTGGGCCACTCTGTCTCATGTGCTATGTGCATCCCCCCTACCCTGCAACCAGACGAGTTGAGTCAGAAAAACAGGACAGACTGTCACTCTTGGTGGTTGCAAGAGTACAGGGAGTTATGTACTCTTGGTGGTTGAATATAGCCACTTCAAAAGTGCATGACACTGACTGTACTTTTTGTCTGATTCACCGCGGACAGTCGGACACCAGTCCGTGGCTACGTAATCTGGGCAGCGCCTCCATACCATGCATACGCAGGGTCGGAATTTCTTGTTGAGGTTCTGGATTCTTGATTATGATTAAGAGGCCTCGACATTGAAAATTGTCTGACTCAGTAAAAATAAATCAATCATGGCTATAATTATACTTGTAGTGGTGGGGCTGTATGCATGCAGTAGCATAGCTGAGCTGGCATTGGCAAGGCTATTTTACTAAATACATGTACGCGAACATATATCCCGATACACACCAACACACACACCATGAACATCCATCCACAACCAGGATGACAGCAGTGGCAGGTAAAGCGGTAGCGGAAATGTCTCTTTGAAACTCCAGGGCGGGAGAAAACACAACCACATACGCAGCGGAATTCCTTCACCACCACCAGCCGAGGTCTCAGACTACGCCACAACTACAGCCTTTCACCACAAGATCACACTAGTGCTCCTCAGGAATGTCAATCGTATAGAAATTGTGCTGTACAACACCCCTCCAACGCCTATCCGGGCCTTGATGTGCACGGGTCTATGGCAGCTCCACAAACAGTACTGTAAACCGGAAAGTCTACGAGTCACGAAGTCTAACGTTTTAAAGGGGAAGTTAAGGCAAAAATTAAAATTTCACCAGTTGTAGTCTTCGGGGTGCTGAGTCGAATGGTCTTGGTCCGAGAAAGCTGAGACGCTCCCTTCCTACTTGAATCCCAATCGAACTCGCGCACTTCCACCAAAACTGGGTGACTGCGCCCTACTAGATGGGGATTTGTATGCAAAATGTTACTAAAAGCGCCGTTTCGTTCTTATAAAAGCACGGATGACCGCGATTGGCCCATATGTTGTAGTCTTTTGGACGCTGAGTCGACTGGTTTTGGTCCGAAAAGGCTACGATGCAGCGTTCCTCCTTTATTCCCAATCGAACATGGTTGAACAAGCGGTCACGTGCTCCTGCGTACACCAGTCAGCTGGTCACCGTGCCTGCAGGGTACAACTTACTAGCCTGTTTGACCTTTTTTGGGTGCAGTCCTGTCACTCGAGTTGAACTCGAGATGAACCTTGGTGTGAAAGTTGTCGCCTGCTGGCGTGGTGACCAGGTGATTTGGGCACCCAGGAGCACGTGACCACTTGTTCAACCATGTTCGATTGGGAATAAAGGAGGAACGCTGCATCGCAGCCTTTTCGGACCAAAACCAGTCGACTCAGCGTCCAAAAGACTACAACATATGGGCCAATCGCAGTCATCCGTGCTTTTATAAGAACGAAACGGCGCTTTTAGTGACATTTTGCATACAAATTCCCATCTAGTAGGGCGCAGTCACCCAGTTTCGGTGGAAGTGCGCGAGTTCGATTGGGATTCAAGTAGGAAGGGAGCGTCTCAGCTTTCTCGGACCAAGACCATTCGACTCAGCACCCCGAAGACTACAACTGGTGAAATTTTAATTTTTGCCTTAACTTCCCCTTTAACGACCAAAATATTTTTCTAGGAAATTAGAGGCCACATGCCACGTACTGCTCTTTTCTCTCCGAAACGCAACTCTTGCAAGCCAGATATGAAAGAAAGAAAAAATCATCAGTCACACCACCGGGACTCGAACCAGGGACCTTGCTATTCGCGAGCAATGCTCTAACCAACTGAGCTACAGTATGACTCTTATCCACAGTGATGGTAAATCTATCCTTCTTCGATCAATCCACATCTGGCTTGCATCATACTGGCAACTCACACCAATCAAGAGGGCCCTCGGCCATTCGCTTGATATCATGGGGAGTGCATCAAACTATGTCCACTGCGAGCAAATACAAATTGCAATTTCAAATTTGGACTTCACGGAGAATTTCAAAGTTTTTAGGAAATTAGAGGCCACATGCCACGTACTGCTCTTTTCTCTCCGAAACGCAACTCTTGCAAGCCAGATATGAAAGAAAGAAAAAATCATCAGTCACACCACCGGGACTCGAACCAGGGACCTTGCTATTCGCGAGCAATGCTCTAACCAACTGAGCTACAGTATGACTCTTATCCACAGTGATGGTAAATCTATCCTTCTTCGATCAATCCACATCTGGCTTGCATCATACTGGCAACTCACACCAATCAAGAGGGCCCTCGGCCATTCGCTTGATATCATGGGGAGTGCATCAAACTATGTCCACTGCGAGCAAATACAAATTGCAATTTCAAATTTGGACTTCACGGAGAATTTCAAAGTTTTTAGGAAATTAGAGGCCACATGCCACGTACTGCTCTTTTCTCTCCGAAACGCAACTCTTGCAAGCCAGATATGAAAGAAAGAAAAAAATCATCAGTCACACCACCGGGACTCGAACCAGGGACCTTGCTATTCGCGAGCAATGCTCTAACCAACTCCATCACTGTGGATAAGAGTCATACTGTAGCTCAGTTGGTTAGAGCATTGCTCGCGAATAGCAAGGTCCCTGGTTCGAGTCCCGGTGGTGTGACTGATGATTTTTTCTTTCTTTCATATCTGGCTTGCAAGAGTTGCGTTTCGGAGAGAAAAGAGCAGTACGTGGCATGTGGCCTCTAATTTCCTAAAAACTTTGAAATTCTCCGTGAAGTCCAAATTTGAAATTGCAAATATTTTTCGTTATTTGAAAAAAACGTTATCGCTAGATGTCTGTGTAAAGATGCGCATACAGATTGGTGGCCAGGTAGCCATCGTAAAACTTTCTGCACGTCATCATGCCAAATTTACGAAAACGTTAAACTTTCCGGTTTTTCAGTACCCTCCGTGCCGCACGCACCACCCCCGTCAGAGGCGATGATAGTCACTAACTGTATTTAAATATATTGGCAAGCTGCGTTTGCACAAATCCCCTGGAGCAGACGGCATCACTAACGGGCTCCTCAAGCAACGAGGTCCATCACTAGCATTTCCCCTGTCCCTGGTCTTCAACACATCTCTAGCCCTCGGGAGCTTCCCCGACCAATGGAAGTCAGCCATTGTCATTCCAATCTACAAGAACAGGACAACAAACTATAGACCCATCTCCCTCCTACCACGTATCTCTAAACTATTTGAACGTATTGTGTATGACCGTCTGTATACACACATTACCCCTCTTCTCCACCCAGTCCAATCTGGGTTTCGTCGCAAGGACTGCACCTCCCTCCAGCTCTCCCACCTACTCCACAAGCTGTGCTCGATTAGAGACTCACGTCATGTAGCTTGTGTTTGCTTTTTTGACTTGCGAAAGGCGTTTGACACTGTATGGCATAGGGGCCTGATTGCAAAGCTCCGGGCCCACGGTGTAACGGGAACTCTCATTGACTGGATTTCCAGTTACCGGTGTACTAGTAACCGGTCACAACGGGTATCAGTAAACGGTACGTTGTCCGAGTCAAAGCCTGTCACGTCTGGAGTGCCTCAAGGTTCAATCCTGGGGCCTCTTCTATTCATCGTCTATGTGAATGACCTCCCATACGAGATTCCTAATGTGTCCCTGTTTGCGGATGACACTGCTGCCCTTGCCTCGTCGCCGACCTACTCCAGCCTCTACCCCATTGTTCAGGAGAAGATATCCGCCACTACAAATTGGATGCGGAAGTGGTTTCTGCGCCCAAACATAGATAAAACAGAACTCCTATTCTTTCCATCTCTTCCCACCTTCCGTTTCCCCGATTCACCCCCTGCTTCATCATTAACTATTACATCTAGCCATAAGCATCTTGGCATTGTATTCGATTCTTCTCTAACCGTTATCTTGGTCCGCCCACACTGACCACGTTTTGTCCCGTGTTTCACGTACTGTAGGCATCATGACGTCCCATTTCTCTCACTTACCCACCAGTTGTAGGGCATGTTTTTATAAATCTTACATTCTTCCACTCTTTCTTTATGGATACCCTGCTTGGTCTACCGTTACGAAGTCCCAACTGGAGAGGTTGGAAATTCTCAACCGCCGTATCCTCCGCATAATACTTAGAACTGGCCGCTACATTTCTAACTCGGACTTGTACAAAATTGCAACTTGTGCCCCCCTGCAGAGTTATCTCGATGTTATAATGTGCTGTCTTGTGCACGCAATTTACCTTGGCATATTCCCCCCGCACCTACAGCAACTTAATTGGTTTGTTTCGAACTCCCCCACACGTAGTAAAGTCCGTCTCCCCCGAGCTACCACATCTCTGTTTGTATCTTCCCCCTTTTTCAGCTCTTATACTAAATGGCTGGCGTTGCCCCTTCATGTCCGTCAGGCAAAGCCGCTTCCCTCATTTCGCAATCCGGCAAAGCAGCATTTCAACATTCCCATTCAATAGACAATATACATGTTTAGTCTCGGTCGTCTCACGTCGGCTGTACTGCTCCCTTTCCTCTGTTATTTACCATGATATTGGTGCACCACCACACTTCTTATACTTTCTTTCTACGCCATGGCTGGCAAACTCCCCCTCCTTATCTATATTGGCACTGATTCATCTTTAACCACTGGAAGGTGTAATAATAATAATAATAATAATAATAATAATAATTGCAATGCTACAGCAGAAGCCATAGCAACTTTTGCTAGGATTGCACCATTCATTAAACAGCTTGCAAGGCTAAAGAACTGACCGCCACTATTCAGCCGGGCCTACATCGCACACATGCCCCCCCCCACACACACACACACCAACACACACATCGTGTGAATCAATGGCACGACACCCCGACATCAGCAAGAACATGGGCAGCTGTCACTTTTCAAAACACCCATCATAGCCAGAAGGACATCATAAAATATTAATATTGTTAAAACTCGAGAGCTGAACTCAATGACATTGACCAGCCGCAAACCTACATCCAATCTCAATCTCCAGCCAACCTCCATCGAATCTGCCGCAAACAAGAATAGAGACAGAAAGATGAGAGTGACTGCTGCCTACATACATCAAGAAACACCACCAAAATATGCAACCAGCACACAGAGGAAGTGTGCGGGAACAGATACATGTAGACAAGAACGGATATTATAGATATGGTTTGAAAGTCATGACATCAATAGCCAAGAAAATAACAACCACTGTACAATTATCAGCTAGCAGGGAATTTTCTAGAACCGCCCCAACCGGTTTTCGACCGGTTGGAATTGTTGGCGACCGGTTGAAAAGTTACAAATCAGTTCCAACCGCCCGTACTTTTCTGTGGGTGAATGGAGCTGTGAATGGTCAAACGCTTTTTTCTGGACGGATACTTCCAGCGAAGCCGCGTGGGCTGGTACTAGGGTCACGAGTATGTACGGTTTGCTACACTCCAGCACCAATAAATCTGTTAAATTGCTGTCGAGTGCCATATTTGGGTTGTATTTTGAAAACATTTTCCGGGGGAGGACCCCACACCCCCCGACTCTTCATTGGACCGTAACCGGTTGGAAATTCGTCCTAGAATATACCCTGGAGCCTAGGTAATGTCAAAAGTACACATCCAAGAGTGAAGATTCCTATCTTGAACTGTTAAGGGCTCAAGCCGGAGTTCTTTGCACTGCATCACAATCCTGGTGGAAGTATGATCCAGACATGCACAGGCCTTTCCCCGTTTGTCATCTACAGTTCATCACTGTAAAACTGGGAATTTTCGAAGGTGTAATCATTTCGGCAGTTCCCAAAATCAACGGTTCAGTAGCGCGAAAATTTCGGTAAACCAGTTTTCCAGATCTAAAAATGCATTTTGCACAATGGGTGGCATACGCTTGTTGAATTTTAGGTCAAAATTACCTACTCAGCTGAATACCGAAGGTACCGAGAATAAATCTCCACCGAATTTTTCCGCTTTTACAGTATCACGTCCTCAGGCTCAACGTGCAAGCAATTGTGCTTGTTGTTCTGCTTCGACGATTGCAGCTGCGATGTAGAAATTCTTTGCACGCTTTAAAACTGGCTTCGCATGATGGCATCAGCGAACCAAATGACAATGAATGACTGAATTCTGCCCTTAGACAAGATCACAAGGTTGCCTACTCTTGGTTTTGTACTTGTGGCCATATCATATCACTAGCATCAAGAGTAGATAAACAAGAGTATGCAACTCCACATCTCTCCTGCACAATCTGCAGATACCCCGGTCCACGGCGGAATGTTTTGTTGACGTCACCTTTCCCCCCCCCCCCCCCCCGCGCCAGAAAACGAGCATTTTGCCGCAGAGCAGTGTGAGAGCTCGTGCTGGGCACCGACCTTGTAATGTAAAGCCCAGCCAAGTGCACGAGGCAAAACTTCCAAAAGACACCAGCAGCATGTGTGTCGTAGAAAAGATTACGTCAACAAAAAATTCCGCCATGGGCGAACCCATCCGCGAGTTGCACACTCTCGTTTATCTACTCTTGCCGGCATGCATACAAGGTATGCACGCATGTGGCGGTGAATGGGCCAAACTCACCTAGCGACGTCGCATCTTGTTCTTTGCGTGCCGGCTAACATTCTTATGTTTTCTGGCACGCTCTTTCTGGATCTTCAGATACTGAGCCTTGCTTCTCTTGCGAAATCTCTCGTTCTTCAGTAGCTCGTCAACTAAGCTTTTCGGACGCGACCGACGTGAAATGTTTGAATATCTGTCCGCCGAATCCCCTATGACTGTCCCTAACTGAGCGTTCTTCGGAATCCCTTTCTTCCAATCTCCAGCTTTGTAGTGACGCTTCGGATCCAGTATGTGTCTCATTCGCAATATTTCCATTTCACGCTTCATTTCATCACTGATATCATCACGCTTCTGACTCTGTTTCTTGCCCGACTTCTTGCCAATCTCTTTCATCTCCACAGGTAAATCTGGTACATCATCAATCTCATAACGGACATTCTCTCCGGTGCAGCTAAGATCTAAGTACAGGTCCTCGTCGTTGAATGACAAACCATGGTCTAAAGTGTATAAATCATTGATTTCACCACTGGTCGGTGCTGCTGGTGTGCTGTTATCTAGATCCACACAAAGAAAGTCCTTCTCCACTTCGGCTCGCTGGAGCATTTTATTTACGACTAAAGAAACACTGTCCATAGTGTCGGTGGCGACAGAAAGCTATTTTGAACAACAACTGAATGAAAATGATTTAATATTGCAATCTTCGTTTTCTTCTTGATCTGATCCGTCGACGCGTCTTCAATTCAACAAAAATAATTATTATTTTGTTGAAAAATGCATGCTGGAAAAAATCTGACCGCACGTGCGTGAGGCGTGACGTCGATGGATCGACGTACCTGTGCACGCGCACGCGCACGTGCGCTAGCGCTATGCATATAGTGCACTGCACTGACTGTGCATGTGTACGGAAAAAAAAAAAACGTTTTTTACTACAAAAAAAAACAAAAACAAAAACTGTGTACGTACGGGGTACGGGTACGTACGTACGGCCTTCTAATTCCAGGCTTCCACACCACTTTTTGCATTTTTTTTGGGGGCATTTTGCGCGCGCGAGACCGGATGCGGAACATTATTATTTTTTGAAGCCTCAAAAACCCATTTTTTGGCATTCTACATCTATGCCATACTATACTAACTACTAAACTAGAGACTAGACTAGACTGTGCATAGTTATGACGTTGGCGGAAGGGCTAGCGCTAGCGCTAGCTGGCGCGGGTGATCACTAGGGAGTCGTAACAATACGACTCCCTGGTGATCACACGCACAGCATCGATCAGCATCCCGGCCGCGAGCGTATCCTGGAGCCGTTCATCAGACACGCAAGCTAGGGCGCATGCGCCGACAGCTAGCGTTGCATATCGCGAGATGCGCGAGGCGCTACATTTTTTGTAGGCATGCACGCATTGATTCAGTGCAGTGCATGCTGCGCTAGCTGTGTTGACTGCCATGCCGCATGTTGGTGCACTGCCAACGCTCTAGCTCTGTCGTACATCTGGCAGATCGTCTCGTACATAGCTGCAGTGCTCCATTTGGCCGCGTCAGGATTCAGGAGCGGCGCTTTTTGCCATGGCGGCATCTCCATGATCTCACAGATCTGCAGAGTCAGTGCTCGGAAGCTGGGAGCTGTGAAGATCGACGAGGCTGTGTAACTGTTGTTGTTTGGTTCGAAGGCCAGCCCGCTTGGAAGACCTCACTGGAAATCTCCAGTGTTGGCTGTATTGGATAGACTTCAGCCTAGGTCTAGAGCGCCATCATGTCGTCCGCAGCTGCAAAGAAAAAGCAGGATGAGAAGAATCTTCAAATTCTTCGCGAGCTTGTTGCCAGGCCTCATAACAAGAAATGTTTCGAATGCCAGCAGAGGGGACCGACCTATGCTGATATGACAACTACAGCCTTTTTGTGCACGTCTTGCAGTGGCTTGCTGTAAGTTTTACAGTTCTCCCTACCATGGTCCTGAAACTGTTGGTGCCATCTTAGTCCTGGCTTTGTTTCTTGTACTTGTGCTTTCTCAGGCGAGGTATATCCCCTCCCCATCGAGTAAAATCTATCTCAATGACCAGCTTCACGCCACAGGAAATGCAATCCCTCCAGGATGGAGGCAATGAGGTAGCGTTTGTTTGCGAATTGATGGGATTCACGTACTTTGACTACAACCAGTAAAGCAATAACGATATTAATTTTTGGAATTTTTGGAGTAATGATTGAGCTCCAACATTTCGAATAATAATTATTACTCAGTGCACTTTTTTCTCATCCTGAATAAACGAAGTGTATGTATATGGATTGATTTGCAATTGGCACGTGATTACTACATCATGAAGAGGGTAGGACAGTGTTAACTGCATAACCCAGTGTGGTAGTGCTAATAGCCTAGTACAGTGGAGCCCCGTTGCGGCTAAAGAGGCTACGCAGCTACTGCGCTGTACGGAATCATTAGAGTTGCTTTGTATAGAGCGGCAAACTGTGTGTCACCACAACTGCACCGTCACCGGTTCGCCACTCTATACACTACGTATATGATGATGATGTCACCCACATACAATGTAACCTCTATATTGATAAGGTCAGATTTCATTTGCCACGCCTGTAAATGCACATGTGGTCAGCGAAAACAAACCGTATAGGCCATTCACACGACATGCAAACACATGCACGCGTGTGACCAAGAAGTCACTTGCAAACCGTGGCCCAGTTCACACTGTGCAGGGCAAAAAAAACTTTCCACGCGTCAATGTATCCATACTCCATAGTACTATAGTATAAACCTGAAAATGCCGGGAAATTTTAATTTGTAATTTCCCCTTTTGAAATAATAGTTCACGCACTTCTACACAGTACATTTGCAGTGCGCTCTTTCAACAACCGACGCTTTTCCTCGCGTGCAAAGTATAATCGTGAGCACAAGGGCTCCGTCCAAGGTAAAACATATGTTACACGCGTCTGTCCAAGTTTATCATATCCAAGTAATTATCCTTGGAAACGGTATGATAAAAGTGAGTTTGCACCTCGCGTGAATGGCCTATTGGGGTGAATTTAGAGATTAACATGGTTGACGGAGTTGGTTGCTCCTACGTGGAGCTCGCGCTGAACTTGACACTTGACTGACTTGAGACCGCCGTCCGCAGCAAACGAGGATGCCTTCCACTCGACAAACCTGCAAGGGAACACCACTCCTTGCTCCATACACAATGGGCATATTACACACACATCCGTCCATTCTAGAATTTCCTTCAATGTACTAGTATACACCTTTCGATCACTCAGATTTCTTCGTCAAATCCACGGAATCTAATAAAATTCCGCCCATTATGAAGTAAAGGTGGAATTCTTCCGCCTGAATGTACGGACTAGCTGTACGCTTTCTTGGTGCCACTTGTGTCTGCTGCATGTACACTATTGATTTGTACAAAAGAGTGCGTATGCATGATCTCTTTCCATGGTTTTTTCAGGTTCATCATGATTGCAGGCAGACAAATCAATTAATTCCAGTTGTTCGTTTGCATGGCTGTAATCAACTCCTTCAAGAATTTTAAATCTGAGTCCAGAAAGTGTAGTCGAATGCGTCCAATGTTTCTGGAATCTTGAATCGTGCCTTTGAATCCATGTGGAATATGTGCCTTCAAGTATCAAGGATGTAATGGTTTTACCCCCACACACTAGTTAACTGTATGCTTGCCCTGGTGTTTGCAATGTAGATTGCTCGTCAAGTCTGGCTTGCCAAAGGAAGAATTGAGCCTCCAGACACGAAGGATGAGGCTGCATTCAAAAAATACCTGTCAGAAAAGTACGAGAAGAAGCTATGGTATGATCCTCATGGCGCAGTGGCGAGGAAGCCTTCGAGCGATAGCTCGTCGTCTCGTGCAACCGAGTCTTCTAACAAATCCACAGAAGTGAAGGTGAGTGAAGGGCATTGTGCATCTGCAGTGTTCGGGTAATTGATATGAGTGTGTCTTCAGTTGCGCTTTCTCATCACTGGGGATAGCACTACCGGTATGTCCTTTCAATAGAAAATGAAATGATGGCAGTGCTGGCACAGGTTAGGTATTGGATTCTTGTAGATTATACGCACAGGTACATTTTTTTGTAAGCTGTATTTGAAATTGGCAATGAATCTAGACTTTTGAACTCGGATGGGGAATCAATTGTACTCGTGTATCAGCGGGCGGACGAAATGTGTTTTGAATGCCTCAGCACCCCTGTCAGTTGTGTGTTTTGAATGCCTCAGCACCCCTGTCAGTTGTGTGCTAACTGACTGTATATTTTCGTGTTGCATTGGTGGACCGCTAGTCATAACTCATAACATGTTTGTCCTTTCTCTTATATATGAATCGAGACTTTGTTGGTGACGTCTTTGGTGTGTACGACATGGGATCGTGTGGCTATGCGCTCCAGGAATTATCATTATATTCACTACAATGTCATGTATTTGCCTCTTTTTTCTGTTCTGCTTATTTGCACCTTCCCGCTGTACCAGGGGATTCAAAGGGTGAGTGACAACTAGGCATGTAAGGAATATCTGAATTTATTTAATCTAACTGTGCTCCAAGGGTATTCTATTAGGAATTGAATTAGAAGATTTGAAATACCACGACACTTGGTGCATGAATGTGCTAAGACATACTCAAGTGGCAACAATGAGAGAGAGAGACAGACAGAGAGAGAGAGAGAGAGAGAGAGAGAGAGACAAACAGAGAGAGAGAGAGAGAGAGAGAGAGAGAGAGAGAGAGAGAGAGCACTATGCGTTAGCAATCAGGTGTGTGCCGTGCACTGGCAGACACTGCTGGTGGCCATGTTATCACGTACATGCACATGTTATCTCTCCGTACAAAGCATCTGAAATGTTGAGGTTATCGCATAACCTCGCACTATAACGGCATGCTGGGCCAGTTGCAGGCAAGCAACACCAACTTGACCAACGTCCAATCACGGCACATAAAGCACATGGCAAAAGGGGTCCACGGTCAGACAGGTCCTTCAAGTGCCGTATGCCTGGACATCATTCACACCATGATCCTGCCCGACATCTCTCTTCCCTGGCTGTTTTAGTTCCCCGACTGCCTTTCTGGCGGGGGGAGGGGACATAAGCTGTGTGTGTGTGTATGTGGGGGGGGGGGGGGGGGGGGGGGGCAGAAAGATGGTGTGTGCAAGCAAGCAAGCTTTGATAGAGACCCCTGTCTTTTATTTCCTGTGTGTGTATAGCCTTCAACAACGTCAGTTCGCCAGAGGCCCAACCAGCCCGGTGGGCAGCAGCCGCCCACCTTGGCACAGACAGCTGCATCTGCAACGTCAGCCAGTGCAACCAGCGCAGCAGGCTCCACTCCACCTGTCCAGCCCGTTGCCGCTGCTTCCACTGCGACAGGCACGCCGCCTGTCGCGCATGCAGACAAGCCCAAGCCAGCTGCCAATCTTCTTGATGACTTAGGTGGCGGTGATCCGTTCGGCCAACAGCCTCCAGCTGCTAACAACTTCTTTGCTGACTTTGGCAGTAACAACCAAGCTCCGGCACCAGGTATATGATGTGGCTAGTAGGGCTTGCTTACCAGTTGTCTTGCTAAAACAATACTGCCTTTTCGACAGTTTCGTACATGTAGTGTGCTGATTATATGATTGAGTTGTCTCAAGCATAGTGGGGGTTACAATACAGGTGCATGGATATGTGGCATGTTTGTAGAATTGCATGTACGTTGTGCATGCCACCAGCAACACACCTAGTTGATGGAATGAAGTAGCAACGTGCATGACTTTTGTGCGCGTACTAACCTTTCCTCGTCTATCTGCTGATGCGGGTCACTGGTATGCTCTATATTCTCTGCCTTCTGTATTTGTGCTGTACAGCAGCCAATCAAGGTTTTGGTGACTTCACATCGAGTGCTCCCGTCCCAGCAGGTAATGCCGCGCCTAGTGGAATCTTCGACTCGCCAGTGATGCAACCCAGCAACCCGCATCCAATGGCCGGTGGTGGTGGTGTTCTTGCACCGATGGGCTCTACTGGTTCGGGATTCGGTGGTGGATCACCTGCAGTCAATCCTAGTGTCAGCACTAATGCCCCCGCAGCTCTCTCTGGTAGTGACAAGTATGCTGCTCTGGCTGATATCACAGGCGACTCTGGTAGTGGCCCAAGCACAATGTTTGGCGGTGGTGGTCCCGCCAGTGCCACCTCTTCCGGCAGTATATTCTCTAGCTCTTCCACCTCTGCTGTGCCTCCTTCATCTGTGAACTGGGGAGGTGCTGCTAGTGGTCCATCAAGCTTGAGTGGTGGTGCTGGCGGTCCATCAAGCCTGGGTGGTGGTGCTGCAGCTCCATCAAGCATAGGTGGTGCTATCAACTGGGGAGCTGGTGGAACAAATGATTCATCTAACACTAGCAGTATATTCGGCGGTGGAAACCCTCAGGCTGCTGGGTCGATGAACGGTTCCGCAGCAGGATTCGGCGCTATGACTTCCGGCAACGCTGCTGGAGCAGGTTTCGGTGGCGGTGGTATGAGTGCTGCCGGTGGTAGTGCTAATCCATTTGCTGCTGCTCCTGCTGCGCAGCCTACTCCCGCCGTCCCTAGTGGCGGTGGTATGTTTGGAGGTGCTGCTGCTGCTGGTGGTGGATTCGGTGCTAGTGGAGCATCAGCAAGCCCGGCTATGGCACCAGCAAATGCATCCAACAATGTCGCAGCGTCAGCAGGTGGTGGTGCCAATCCTTTTGGTGATATTGGCAACATTGGTGGCACAACCAAGGGACCAGCTAGTGGTGTACAATTCAAGAAGGCCGTAGAGCCAGCTCCAGCAGCACAACCGCAGCAGCAGCAACAACAACAACAACAACAGCAGCAACAACAACAACAACAAGGTTTTGGTAAGTTGATCCATTAACACTTCTTGGCAACAAGAAAGTAAGCAGCAGCACTCGGCCCTTGAAAATTCTGCCTCCACTTCACCACCACCGTTGCGCTCTGCGGCCGACCACGAACTCAACCTTCTCTGATGAGGTCTCTGATGACCGAAACAGCTGTCAGAAGGAATTAAAATATTCTCAGTACTCCGAAGGAACCTCTTGCTGCTGTTGTGGGGAATGTGTGGTCGGCCACAGAGCGCAACGGTGGTGTTGGTGAAGTGGATGCAAAACTTCTAAGAAGAAGTTCACTGTACAGCCGATCATCTGCACCCCTCTGGGTGTGGGGTTGTCTCCAGTCCAAAGGGTTCCCATAATGGAGCGGCCACACTCACATTATTATAGAACATTCATATCCCCTCGTGTTTCATCATTTCTCATTCTCGTTTGCAGTACCACAGGCAGTAGGCACACTCTAGCTCCTCAAGATAACATTATGGGATAAACCTGTTGCCATACATTCTGTGCACCAGTTCAATGGTGCTTCGGGTGAGGACAAATTAGCGAAAACTCACTTTTGTCCCTTGCATTCTGTGCAAACCGGCATTTCGGATAATTGATATCGTTCAGATAGTTGACATTCGGTATTCAGCATTCTACTGTATTCGTACATTGTACTTGTTGTGGCCCCATTTGCCAGACTTGTGACTGCTGCTTTGGTTCCTTTGGCTCTTGAGTGCTTCATGTGCTTCCATTAGACTAACATAATCTCTGTCTGTGTTTTCTCATTTCTGCCATTCCAGGTGGCCAACAACAGCCATTGTCAAATCAGTTTGGTGCTATGAACATGTCTGGCCAGCAGCAGCCGCAGCAACAACCTGGTGGTGGATTTGGTGGCCAACAATTTGGGCAACAGCAGCAGCAGCAGCCTCAGGCTGGTGGTTTTGGACAACAGCCGCAACAAGGCGGCTTTGGGCAACCCCAGCAGGGCGGAGGCTTTGGACAACAGCCACAGCAAGCTGGTGGCTTTGGACAACCTCAGCAGGGAGGAGGCTTTGGACAACAGCCACAGCAAGGAGGAGGCTTTGGACAACAGCCGCAGCAAGCAGCAGGTGGTTTTGGTCAGGCACAGCAAGGAGGAGGCTTTGGACAGCCCCAACAAGCTGGTGGGTTTGGTCAGCCTCAGCAAGCCGGCGGATTTGGACAGCCACAGCAAGGTGGAGGATTTGGTCAACCCCAACAGGGTGGCGGTTTTGGTCAAGCACAGCCCCAGGCTGGTGGATTCGGTCAAGCACAACCCCAGGCTGGTGGATTCGGTCAGCCACAACCCCAGGCTGGTGGATTCGGTCAGCCACAGCCCCAGGCTGGTGGGTTTGGGCAGCCAGCAGCTCAGCAGCAGCAGTCGTTTGGTGGTAATCAAGGTATGTTTGGTGGACAAGCACAGGCAGGTGGTGGCTTTGGCCAGCCAGCAGCAGCTGGTGGCTCTGCTGCTGCGGGTGGTGGCTTTGGAAATTTTGGTGCTGCACCGGCTAATAATGCGTCCTCAAACCAGTTCGGTGGATTCACATCTGCGGCCACGCCTGCAACCGGCGCATTTGCTGTAAGTTTGTTATTTATTGCCTGCTATTTGTTTGTGATCCTCTTATGTGATGCTGTGTGTACTCTGCAGTGCTGTTTGCCCAGTGTCCCCCTACCGTAATGTACCCAGAGAGCGCCCCATTTCATTTCACAGCCAGGGAATGGAAAATTGTTTGGTAGATATGCGAAAAGAGTTTGTACGGCGTCACGTGTGAGTACCTGATGGCGAGTTTGGTTGGTGCGATCTAGAACAGGATCGAACAACTGGTGCACATGGAGCAGCCTCGTGCCAACCAGATGGAGCTCCAGAAACAGAGTACATTTATGTGAAATGTGCGCCAAACTTAGTTGCATTCATCGAAATGTGTAGAGTCACCATTGTTCGCTTTGTACGGTACAGCGAGTGCATGCCAAAATGCAATCCAAAAGTGTATGCACAATTTTGCATTGCACGTGATCATTTGGCACCAAAATCGATGTTCCCGCCAGGCTTCACTGTGAAAACGTTTTAACTTTTTCACCGTGAAACCAGGCGGGAACATCGATTTTGGTCATTTAAAAATGCTCTGGCCACTCCAGCCTGAAGGCTGGAGCAAGCAGAACATGTTCTGGTCAATCCAGAACAGGTACAGACTCAACCAAACTCGCTGTTCTGGTGAATCCTGTTCTAGGTTGCACCAATCAAACACGCCCCTAGTATACTACGGTCACACGTAGCATGTGAAGCTCCAAGGTAAACTGAGGACGGATTGACTGCTCAGCATGCAATGTGTGTGCAAGATACATGCCGTATGAACTTCAGTCAGGACACCACCTCCACGACACAATCACGAAAGGACGAATTGGTTGGGTCCTCTCGCGGTACTTTACGGTAATACCGTAAAGTACCGCCAGAGCGCCCCGTCTCGCGAGAGCGCCCCACCTTGATTTTACAGCCAGGGAAAGGAAAATCGTATGGCAGAGTGCAACGAAGTTTGTACGATGTGAGAACCTTAGTTTTTAAGGGCACGCTTGGGAGGTTTTTGTGTGGAACTTGTGTCCGCTCGAAGGTACGGATTGACTGCAAAATGTGGAATATGTGTACATGGTTCGCACCGTATGACCTACAGACAGCAGACCGCCTCCACAATACGACCACGAAAGGACGAGATGGTGGGGCGCTCTGACGGTACTTTACGGTAGTGTCGTAGCACATCTCGATGTTCTGGATTGCGTACGTGTCTAGATGTGACGTTCACTTTTTGTTGCAACGAAAACAATGGTGGTGTTGTTGATGTTCCCTTCCCTTGCATGCTCTCCAGTGGTTTACTCTAGTTTCTGCTTGCCTTGACCTGTTGTTGTGCTCAGGGTGCATCCAGCAGCAATCCGTTCATGTGAGCGTTTGCCGTTTGCGAATAGTGCCCTTGCTTGCCACTACCACCGCCGCTGTGGTTGTGTATGCCGGCGTTACCTCGCGTCTTTCTCTGGCGCGTGCGTGTATGCCGTGGAGGAAGCGTTACTTGCTTCATTTCAATTGTTGAGCACGTTGAAGGCGATTCATGGCTGCTACGCTCTTGATCACTGAAACGGCACACTTTGGCATGGTAAGCGACTTTCGCGTACCATGTGTGTGTGTGTGTGTGCTCGACCGCGCGCTTGTACGTGCAGTCATGTGATCGCTCAAAGCTACTGCTGCTGCTAGTTCTATATATATATATTCATGATGATCATGATGATGATACTGTCACCTTTCAATCATTATCCACATAGCTGCACACTAACCACACCACCGTGATACCCCGATTCATGTCATCGGGCCGCATGCTATAGTAAAGATGGGTGTTGCGTAGGTCTATTTTATTTCCTTTACGTGTGTCTGTCTGTCTGACTGCGTCCGTGCCCGTTTGCCGTGTCCACTCCACTTTTTACACTTGTCCCCTGTGTGTGTGTTGGTGTTTCTTTATGTTGTTGTGTACTGCTTGTAAATGCGCCGCCCCGGTGCACTGAAAGCACTCTTCTGTATAGCGACCCTATTCTGGGTTTGGTTGTCTTGGGCACCATTGAGCCCCGGCATGCTATATGCAACTGTAGACTGGTGTCCGCCTTCGCCACCTGCCTGCCTGCTACTGACTTTTAGGATTGTGTTGAAATTCAGATGGCCTGGGACTTTCCAGTAGCTTGTCAAGTTCACTTTTTTCTTTTGGTTTTCTTGTAAGCTTACTCCGTAGAACTGTCCTCCTTTTTTTCCGACTCTCCCTCTCTCCCGCTCTTTTTTATTCTCGATATCATACTTATCCATTATGCTACATGTCACACCCTTTGTCCCTGTCCGTATCTTCGTTTCCCGGCCCGAATCCTTCTCTGGCTGCTTTGGTGAGAAGCCCAACAGTGTGTATGTTCTAAACTGGTGTTCTCATGATCAGATCAGGGAGCGCTCGATGTTTAGTGATCTGGCTAGTGCTATGGTGCACGTTAGCACCACCCCTACTGACACGTTCTATTCCCTTTCTTCCCCCTTTGCTACCCTGTATCTATTTGAGAGTTTACGCTACTTACTTTCTCCCTGTTTTTTCTGTTTTGTACCTGTTCTTGTACAGTCTTCTGCTTATAGCCGTGTCTATTTTTTTCGTTTCACTTCTCTTCAAGATGTACTTGTAACTTTAATACTTTTCCTGATCAAGAGGCTGGATAGTTCCGGAGCATGCCTTTGTGCATGTGTGTGTGTGTGTGTGTGTTTTGTACAAAGAGAGAGCTTGGAAGCTCAGTGCCCTACGCTATGCTTTTTTGCCTTGATGACCTAGACAAAAAAGCATAGGGATGTTATAAATTCTTATAAGTTTCTACTTTTTGTTTTTAGACATAACCTGGGATTCGAACCCGCACTATCGCCCTGCATGCATCCCCCGATACACTTCGCATACATACTAATTCTTCCAAGTTGCTTCACGTTATGATCTTGTATTTGAATGCCCTATTTGAATATGCATTGTGGCCAGCCGTCTTTGAATGTACGGTACGGGATAGGTGCGGGACAGGTACGGTCGAGGGTAATACGACACCATCTACCGCCTTGATGACGGCAAAAAAAGAAAAGGGATGTTATAATTTTTTCAATTCTCCTATTTTTTTTAGGCATTACCTGGGATTCGAACCCGCATTATCGCCCCACATGCATTCCCCCATACACTTCGCATTCATACTCATTCTTCCAAGTTGCTTCACGTTATGATCTTGCGTTTGAAAGCCCGATTAGAATATTGCGGCCAGCTGTATGTGGCCAGCTGTGTTTGATGGTACGGTACGGGATAGCGCCAGGCGTGACACAAACAAACAAACACCAAATTAAAGCTGTGTGGACCCTGGCTAGCGCCAGACGTTACTGAAGTAACGTCTTCTGCATAGCTACGGGAATAATTATTATTGTTACTGCCTCATTTCATTGCTCTGTGCGCTGTTGCCGTGGTCTCGCGTACTGGAGCCCATCGTATTCGGGGAGTGATTGAATCCGATGCTGTTTGCATGCAATCTGTGCTACATTAGTGGGAGCTGAAATCCGACCCCTGATTTTCATGCTCGTGCCCGAGCGCAGCGCCCCTTCTAGCAGTCTCTGTTCTGGTAGTGTAGATCTACCGACGCATGCTGGGGTTTTGCAATGTGAGTGCTGGGAGCTGGGGTTGCATTTCACTTGTCATCACTGTACATGATTGTACATGTAGCTACTGCTCAGTGAAATCCAATCAAGCGAATCAATGCCTTAGACTAGGTCTTGCAAACACTGGAATGAAAACTGGTGGACGTTGAAAACTTGACTCACCCGATCGGATTTCTTGGGGCAGACCGCCGCAGTACTATACTTTCGGGGGGAGGGGGGGGGGGGGGAGGGAGGGAGCTGCGAATGCGGTACCGGTACATGCATAGACGGTGATAGTACACTATGGTGGTATCGTCGGGAGAATCATGATTCTACAGATTCTGTTATTGTATTGATAAACACACAGGTCTTTTCAGTCTCGTACTGGTCTGCAAATGAGTGGTGTACTTTGTACTACAGTCTGAGTTTTGTATTGTAGGGAGAACTCCCTGCCCTGGTTTGGTCGAATCTCGGTCTTGCGACCATTTGAACCGTATCGTATGGGGCTGTAGCCCGGTTCCTACCCTCATTAGTCTAGACTAGGGCCCCAGTGCAGTAGGGAGCATAGCCATAGGAAACCATGATTAGTACCAAGAGTTTATGGACTCTTGTTAGTACTTTTATTATTTTTTCGATCGACACATGAAAGGCAAGAAAATACTTCCAGCTGCATAGTTGACAGTGCCCGCATTTCCATAACAAAATTCTGTTATGTTCATGACATGTTATGTTCATGTACGTAGGCGGCGAAGAGCAAAAATAAGAAGCAGGGAGTCGTAAAATACCGGTATTTTACGACTCCCTGATAAAAAACCTGAGTCATCTCCAAGGAAACGTAAATGGTGCAGCTCAGGCCAGGGTCAACATTATTTTTGCCGAACACTTTTGAAAATATTTCGTACCTTGATTTTATCTTCCAGTCCAAAAATCACGACTGCTTATTTTAGAATGATCTTCGTGATGTTCAAGATGAGGTTTCTTCTTGAAAGTTGATTTGGCAATGTACCCTGTATCGTTGACTAGTAAAGCAAGGAACTTCGTACCTATCTTCCAACCATGTCGGTGGTTGAGGTCGCAGGCTGCGACCAAAACTCTAAGGGCTACACTTTACAAACCAGATCGTTCCCAAACTAAGGTGCCTCGGCCTAAAGTCAGCACTCAAGTCTCTGTAAATGTGGACAGCCCCCCACAGCCAACGGTCCAGAATGAGTATGTGGAAGAATACACGAAAAAGTACGAGGCAGAGTTTGCAGCTCAGCAGAGGAGTGTTGAGGTATCGAAAGGGACGATTCGTCTAACTAAACAGGATGTTATTGACCAAGATCTGTACGAGGGCCTGTGTAATCAATGTGACATGGAAGAGAGTGCATCTCCTCTGTTGCTGGCTTGCAAACGGTTCACCCGTCCGCCGCTCGTGCTCAGTATATTGGAGTGTGCCCTCTCCTTCTGCCGCATGGAAAGGCTTACATTCGAGGAGCAGAGTGTGATTCTTCATCACGTGGCCACCTATGCAGGCAACCAGTCACTGCTGTTTGGAGCAGAGCTGCGCACAGCATGTGGTTTTGTGCAGGGGATGATAAAAGAGTACAATCAAACGCAGCTGATGAAGACAGTCTGGGCGTTGACTGAACTGCTGGGAGCGGACTCGCACACCACACATTTGCTATCGCATGTCGCCAGTCGCACATGGCATGAGGCTGATTATCTTGGTGGCGAGCAGCTCTTGCTCCTGGCAAAGTCGCTGTGGATCTTGCGACAAGACAAGCAGGTGGTGCTCAAGTTGCATGATGCCCTGCTGAAAGGCATCTTCCGCAAAATGGATGCAGCAACGCCTGACCAGATTGTGGAGACGCTACACATCTTACATGAGATTAAACCTATAGCTGCAGTGAATAAAGAGCAGGCTGGAAGACTGTCCCGTGCTCTAAGGAGAGATATTCGTACCATCAGTACAGACAACATCAGCAAAGCGGCCATGCTCTTCGCAAAGGTCGGTTATCGACCGGAGAAAGGCGATATCATGGTCTCAAAGCTAGTAGATGAGTTTGTATGCCGTGTACCGCTGCTGAGCACGAAAGAATTCTTGCCTCAGTTCTGTGCCATGGTGGCTGGGTGTGACTTTCTGCAGCGGCAGATTGTCGGCTGTCTACGGCGCCTGTACCAATGCATTAGCCTGTCGGACTCTCAGGAAATTATCCTGCTGGCCTCGGCACTGGCATCTCAGCGAATACGCCACAACAGCAATCTGTCGTTGGCGCGTGCTGCTCTCGGCGAGAAAGTGATGCAGAATGTGGAGGAGTACGACAGCCGTACGTCCAGCTTGCTACTACACAACTTCATGCACATGCGTTGGCGAGATGAATTCCTGCCACTGCTGTTGGCCACCCGGGCATTCTCGGCGGGTACGCTGCTCAGTCTGGATGAGATGTGCGCGCTGATCTATGACTACTCACTCATCAAGCACCCAGAGTTTGGCATTGCGGAGATGTTCTGCCAGTTTGTTGCCACGTGTGACATTGGCCAGCAGATACTGAGCTGGGCGGCGGGCGTTCGTCTGGCCAGAGGCATGCTCAACCTTCGCTTTAACCACCACGACTGGCTGATGGCTCTGCACCGGTTTGTGACTACGTACCTGGATCGCTTGCTCTCTGGTAATCACACTGCGGAACTGAGTAGCATCCTTGACTGTCTGTTTTTGCTCAACTCTCCATCTGAGAAGCTAATAAAACGACTGCTGTCTCCTTTGAAGCGTGATGTACTGGACAAGCTGTCTCTTCACATCAAGGCACGTGTATTCCTCTCAGCCTATGCCATTGGTTACACCAGCCATGGCTGGTGTCCAGATGTCAATCAGCTGACTTATAGAGATTTGGCAGAATTCAGCCCAGCTCGACGCTACTGGCTGTTTGTCGCATGGTTAGCCGGTGAAGGAGAGTGGCAAATGAACGCCGACCTGCTCAGCTGGCTGCGGGCCGACCAGTTTGTGGCTCTACCTCGCTTCCACTTCTTCAATGAGTGGCTTGGCGATGTGTTTGTGGCTCAGCACATAGACCTGGAGGGAAGCTTTCCCCAGCACAACCTTCTCCTGGCTGATCATAGCCGTCACCTGGTGCCGTGGACCCACCTGCAAGGTTGGCAGCAGCTCCGGAGCACTGGCAAAGTCACTGTCGCTGAACTGACGGCACTGTGCCAGTCGCAGAGCATGCAGCCAATCTCGGTGGTGGCAACGTGGCATCGCGACTATCTGCGCGGAAGGAGTGAGTTGAGCGGCTTAGATAAAAGCTACCTTCGAATCCTGAAAGCGCAGGGCTTTCAAACACTAGTTGTGAATGTCGACGAACTTCTCGATAGTGGCGACAACTGGCAGGATCGTCTTGAGCAAATTGTTGCCGAGAACCAGTGGATGGTACCTACTCAATCCAAGCTGTGTTCCACATAGGCAGCACACTGTCGGTATGGGGAAAACAAACATTTTGTGCGTTCGTCTGGTGCTCACATCTCTCTCTCTCTCTCTCCTTCTCTCTCTCTCTCTCTCTCTCTCTCTCTCTCTCTCTCTCTCTCATCCAGAAGACCAGACTATGATAAAACCGGGTGTGCTTGCCCACTAATCTCCTTTGGTGCATAATGTGCCTGTTTATAGCATGATTTTATTTTTCATACGATTAGAAAACAAAAACAATACAGAAGCGTATGCGGAAGAAAGTGCAGACTATTGTGTGTGTTGGGGAGGTGCGTGCGTGCGTGTGCCAGCTAGTTCGGTTGGTGGGTACACTTATGCCAGATTGTGTAGGGTCTGTTGCCAACAGGCTCGGCTCCTTGAAGGTGTAATGTTGTACCTGCCACCTTTGTTGGTTCCAGGGTTCGTGTACTTTCTATTTGAAGTATACACACCTGTTAAACTGATTGTATAATCAATGGTGCTAGTGAAGCCTAGAAACGGATTCACTCTGATTTAGCCACCCACACTATTGTAGTAGCACGTATTACCTTCACTGGGGGCAGGGGTAACTGCAGTTGGATCCCGGGACGGATACCCTGATGCCGTCAATCCTGTTTCTGCACCTTGTCCTCACCCACTTACTGAGGTGTGGTGAGCCCATAAGTGGGATCATTTTCAAGTCCACCCAGAGTTTTGGGGATTTCAGGGGGTGTCGGCCGTTGGGGGATTCAATAGCCAATTGAGTCATTTTTCCAAGATTCCTTTTGAATCTCTCTCCCCTCTCTCGGTAAGACGCACGTGACCAGTTTTTGGCAGTGAGCAACAAGGGGATTGTACAAGTGTGTGTGTGGTACATGGTGTGTGTGTGTGTGGCGTGTGTTAGGATCTATCTATTCTATCCTCCTTTCTTCTTCTTTTTCAATCTGTTCTGATTGCAAGTGTGACCTATCGGCAGATCGAGCTACATGGTTTGGTGTGAAGCAGGCCGTAGCCAGCGCTGCATGGTGTCAAGTCACCATGGTCACACCAACACACTGTTACACAGTGCCATCTTATCCATGCACGGGTCTCAACGCAAACGCCCCACGGCAACACTGCCACAGTTCACACGTACAGTCATCAGGTCATGCAAATCTGCCTAGCGCCTCCACTCCCAGTCGAGTAGACTACCGGTAGTACCATACTGATAGGCAGTTAGTAGTCCTCCACTGGTCCTCGGATCGGGCACAACAAGCTACCGACTAGGCAGTGAGACAAGGTAGACTCTCAGTGACCGGTAATGAGTTCCTTTGCTCCCGCTGGCGAACAGTGCGTGGTTGACGGACAGACCGACACCACTCATCGGAGTCAACCGTTGTAGAGCCAGTAGTGGTGGAATGAACAAATCAGGACCCAGAAAAGCGGGCGAGTCCCTTATTGCGGGGAGCGGCTCAGTCGGGTCTTGGTGCTGCACGCTGATGTCATCTCGGCGTTCGATATTCTTCTTCCGTCTATAATATTCATTGCTACCGGTAAGTCACCCATGGCCACGGCTCGGGCTCGGCTCTTATCTGCCTGGTCGGCACCGGAACTTTGGCTCGACTGAGGAGAAGTTTCCTTCCGCGACTATCGGCTCGTGTCTTTATGGCTTCCGTTGTCAAGGCCCGCTTTGTGCCAGACCTAAATTTCGTAAGTCGCCCAGCTGAACGGCTGGGTAGTGTCTTGACTCGTGTGTTTCTTCCTCAACCATTGTGGTTAGCTGTTGAGTATGCATGTCCTCGCAGAGGGTATTTGGTAGCGCTTCGGCAGAGCCCGAGCGGCATCACTATCTTCACCGAGTTCAGTGGTATTCCGCTCCGTGGGGCCATGCGCCGGCATTTTCTGCGTGTGTTTTCTCCCAGGTAAGAAGTGCCCAAGCTGGTTATCAATCCGGCTCAGTGTTGCAGGTGCGACCAGTCGTCCGCCAGTGCCAGAAAAGTTGAAACCCAGGAAAACAAGAACCCGCTATCACAACTTCCTCATACCGGTACGGTGGGTATGCGCGGACACACACTGGTATGTGGGCTATGCAAGTTATCAACAAGCGGCTGCTGCTAAGTGCATGGGGACGAGGGGCTGGGGTCTGCAAAAGCATAATATGCTCATGGTATTGACCAACGCATATGGCCGATTGGTTTGCAGGCCTGCCTGCGAATCATGAGGTCCCGAGTTCGAGACCCGCGCTGGTAGCAGGGAGCGTGCAAAGACTTTTTACGTGAGTAAAGACTTTTTATGCGTGGTGAACTGCGCCGACACCCACGGTCAACTGGGTACTCACAGCTCGGAGTGAGGGTAACAAGGATGCAGTTTACAGGGTTATGGGCCGTTACACGCCCGATTGGTTGAGAGACTCACCTACTCTCCCCTGACTCACTTGTGAGGTCTGCATTCGCCACTCAGGTGTGCAAGGCATAGGCATAGTGGTGGCCTGCGGAAGCGAAGGCTAGTTTGTGTGTTTCTGAACATTCAAGCGATGCCAACGCGAATCCCGCGAATTATTATTATTATTGACTATTGCTATTGGCGTGGGACTCCCGGAGTACTCGTATCTGACTGTGCAAGAAATTGAATAGAAAAATGTCACGGTTCTGTTCATAGCGGCTGATTTGCGGCGGCATGTACTGTGGCGGACATGGAAATCCAGTCGACTGACCGGGGCCGGCGCCCTCAACGCCTACAGAACGTAAGTCGTTGCATTGCAGTGCACAATCATGTTGATCCGATGCGACCAGCAGCAGCGATACGTGCTATGGCTGCATTGCCAGCGCCCTGGTGCCGCTAGACGTGCGACCGGATTTCCATGTCCACGACAGTATGTAACCATTGTTTACCATGTTTACAACATGCGCCGCTGGGCCATCATCCGGGGGAGCTTTGGGGCTGCAGTTGGCAGCAGTAAAGGCTTGCCAGCCTTTACTGTAAGAGTTGAAAGCGTGACGAGTCTAAAGTTTCACGATTTGCAAATGTTCCCCACTTTGCGCGGGGCACAAAGTTTAACGACCCTGCCACCAGTGACCATCACACACCTGTCTTCTGTTTCTCTAGTACAGTCAAACCTCTTTAGGACGAACATCAAGGGACCAATGATATTTGTTCGCAATAACGGGAGTTCTTCTTATCCGTATGCTATACTCAGTGAATACATAGTGATTTATCCAATGGAGTTACGAATACTAGTTCTTCTTAAGCAAACATTTGTCTTATCACTGTGTTCTTCCTAACCAGGTTTCACTGTACAACAGAGAGAGTAGGAATAGCATACTAATAACGTTTCTTGAGTTAACGATGGATTTCAGCTTCTCGTTAAAGGGGAAGTCCGGTGAAAAATTTAAATTTCAGGGTCGGTAGAGTTTCGGGCGTTGAGTTGTATGGTGTTGGTCCCACGTGTCTCCGACAAAGCCCTTGAGATATTTCCGTTTGAAACACTGAGTTTCGGGGGCTGCGCCATGACGCCATGCGGCCGTGCCACACCCTCCGCAACGTCATAGCGTGCAGCTAGGTCAAAAGAAGTGCGTGAAAGCAATAGTGTCAGTGCTATTTCAAATGATTTGGCGACCCATAGTAGGTGGTGCAAGCGACCCCGAAGACGTAACTCCTTGTGAGAGTGAGGATTGAGCCATGGCTGACCTTCATGAGTCGGTCTGGGGCTGAGAACCTCGGTATTCAGCTAAAGAAATGGCCGCGCAGGCCGGTCCAGAGTGAGCGCTACTGAGTTTCCGACTGAAGAAGCAGCAGCAGCTATTGCAGACGAGGCTGATATAATTATCAGATTGCTGGAGAGCAGAGTCGCCAAACTGGAGAAGAGTGATGCGAGTGCTCTAAATGTTGTTCCATACCGATTCGCTTAGACTCCAGTAGCCTGCCACATGGTGATGTTTTGGTGCGAACTTGGCATACCGTAGAATCCCGTGGATAAGCCCACCCGCGTATAAGCCCATGCCCGCGCATAAGCCCAGGGTTTGTAAGAACATCACAAAGCTTCATCGTACAAGCCCATGGGCTTAGGTCATACCGAGAGTCCATAAATTATGGACTCTTGGCCATACCATGTACGTAGTACATGCACATTAGTTTTTTTTGCGTACATTTCAGCAGTTGTTTTTGTTTGCACAGTGGCTTTCAGCAATGTACTTCTCACTTCCTTGATACTTTTCACAACTTGGTGTCGGCGTATAAGCCCATGCCCGCGTATAAGCCCATGTTCTCGTATAAGCCCACCGAAATGTCCTTGTGAAACAGATAAGCCCATGGGCTTATCCGCGGGATTCTACAGTATTTCGGACTACTCAATTGGAGAACAGTGCAGGCTCTTTGAACCACGGACACGACTCTTCGCTCGCAACGCTACGGGATCTGAAAGTTCTAGGTCCGGGAGCTCAGTGTTCGCTGTTTTGTTACTTGTCACGGTTGTGCACTCATCGCTGTAGCATAAAATAATGAGGCTGGAGCGGAAAACTAAAATTTTCTTTCTCAAAGCACAATCACCGGCAAGGAGAAACGCACGTTCTCTGACTACATGACTGTACAATACGACTGATACGAGTGTTGTAGAAGATGACAAGTCCGTGTGTTGACTACTGTAAAAGCAATTATTCTAACGAGGCGCATATATAACGATTTCCCAAAATCGACTGGTTTATGTGTACCAAAGGTAACGATTCTCACCTATTCTCAACTCTCAATAGGACAGTATATGTATCGATTTCTATTTTAACGACAGACTTCTCCTCGTTAACTCGTTAGAGTTAGGCACTTCGTTATATATATGGCTTTTACAGTAGTTTTCTGAGTCTTGTTGTAGCTACCCCAGCACGGCAGTGCGGGAGTAGTTCCGTGTGTGATGAGTCAAACTCAAGTGTTGAAACTCAATAACCCGGGTCAAACTCGAGGGTTGAAAGTAAGCTTCGTAACCTACTGTTGTGAAACCACAAGTTCTCGAGAGTGAAAGGCCTTCTCGCTTGTGACATTGTGTTCGTTTCAATGCAGTTGTATCCCGACTCCGCCGTACCGCTGATGTTTACGACGTAGTATACGTTACATGCGCTATGTGCGGTTTACTGTGTGCACTGTAGTTGTATGTGTATGCTTTTCTCATATACGCTGGCATTTTCACGCTATAACTACCTGGTGGTTTTAGTGCTAGTTATTCATTCATTCATTGTTCATTATTGTTAGTCGATGGAAGTGAAATATACTGTTGAGAATAAATAGTTGTCCTCGTGCCGTGTGGTCGTTCGTTCCTGACACTTTAGAGAACCAGAGGGTTCCCACTCTGTTGGGCCAGAGACAGCGGAGGGCGACAGAAAATTATTCAACGGAAATAGAAATATTCTAGGAATGGTGAAGACCCACGCAGAACGACAGCAGGAGGTATAAGAAACAAAATGCACACTGGAAACTGGAAACAATAAGTCATAATACTAATAATATTTATTATGCTGGAATGAACATAATTATTGGTGTGAACAAAGGACGGAGGACAGTGCACGAAAGGCCTACAGAAAAGAGAACAGTAGTAAGATACTGGAAAATTCTTTCTGGATATTGCCTGCTAAACAACACAAGGTGAGGAGGGAAAAGAGTGTTGTGTGTGTGTGGGGGGGGGGGGGGGGGGGAGGGTACAATAATATTATTCAAGTCTGTTAGAAGACTACTTATGGAAAAATGATGATTGGGTCAAGGTGGGTCTAGCAGCCCCAGTCAGTTCAGGTTTGGGATTTTATGATAGACAGTTGGATATGAGGACAATAAGCAATGGCGCATTTGATGATAGATTAGTCAGGGTGGTGAATGCAGCATATAGCCTAGTAGAGCGACAAGCGATGGGAATGCAGCATATTGCCTAAGTGATTATTGAAGCAGGATGTAGCGTTCGCACACACACACACAATCTTGGATCTGTAGTAGTAGTAGGAGTGTTGATTGCATAGTGTTGATTGCAACGCTTACCGGAGGCCACGTGTCTGCATCGCTGGCTTTGCTTTTGACTTTGACGTGCCGGAAGCCCGCTGCGCAGAGGCCATCTTCTTCTTGAGCGCTGCCTCGTCCACCTCCCAGCATTTCCAGAGGCGGATGGTCTCGTCAGCCGAGCCGGACACAACGGTGGTGTTGTCAGGACTAGCTGACATGTACAGTATCCTCTCCGTGTGGCCTGCAGTCAAAAAAGAAGTTAAACCCAGGAGGTAAGATGCATTGTACAGTGCTGCTCAATGAAATCCAGTCGCATCACTGAATTTTGCGCTTTACACCATTTCACCCAGCACCGTACTTGAGTGACGCGACTGGATTTCATTGAGCAGCACTGTAGATCGGTGGAAAGAATTCTAGGCTCTGCTCTAGACATAAGTCAAGTACTACAACTTATACAAGAATAGGCTCTGCTCTAGACATGTGTCATCGTACTACAAGTGCACTGCAGAAGAACACTCACTATGATGCTGACAGCAAACAACACTGGTTTCAAGAACCGGCTAGCTCTGCATCCACAAGGATGTGGCAAAAAGGAATCGTTTGTTGGCCTCTGGTTGGTGGATCTGATCTATCCTCCCCCACCGTTTAAGAGCCGCATCTGACGCCTGATCATGGGGTGGCGGGGGCCCGTGGAAGCGGAAAGACGGTTCTTGACCCGCCCTGTACGCGAACCAGCGCAATTTTTTCTGCATCCACACCACATTAAGTTTAGATTACTTTGTGCACAGAATTTCAAAACTTGGGCATTTTATCTCAAGCCGAATTTAACGAATTACACGGACAACTGGAAGTCTAAGCCGTCACCTTTTTGTGGGACAAACGGCCCATATGTGGCAGGTACAAGTCGTTCTAGTGCATTTATGAGTATGACCTTACAAACAGGCTCCGGTACCATGGTATAAGTCCCATTGATGGCCGACCAATGTGGAGGTGCTGCAATTTCGAAAAGAAACACAGCGGGTATCGGGTGGACAAGCAAGCCTTACCTGAGAGCTCAGCCACCTGTTCCAGCTGTGGATAGCGCCACACTGTCAACTGATTCTTCGGATATCCATGACCAGAGATAAGCTCACCATACGTCTCATTCCACAGCAATCCACACACCTACACACACAGTGTGATGAGAGAGAGGCAGGGTAAGGATTTAGACCTCAACATCAGGTTTTATGCCTGAAAGCAGACCGTCAGTCTAGAATTTTGAGGGGGACTGGATTAGATCAGCACATAGACAGCTGCTAGCTGACACACATTACATACACCGGCACATGTATCTGTGCTCAAACACAATGACCGTACATACATACATATCGTGCTCTCACACAATGCCCATACATACATATCTGTGCTCGCACACAATGCCCACATACTTCCTCCGCGTCATCGAAATTGTCGCAGTTTGACTAGTGACTTGTCACTTGTTACTCACAACTCCATAAGCTAAGCCATTCAAAACTTATTACACAGTATGATAGTCTGAAGACTAGAGTAACGTTCCAGGATAGTTGTACTGAGAGTTTTCATGCAGAGATGAAGTCCTCGTCGTCGCTGATGTCAATGGACGCAAAATTATCGTTCCGAAATATTTCAAGGAAGGTTGAAAGTTGGTCGCGCCTCATCTCAAACGCTTTGACTTTCACCACAGAACAAGAGCTGCTATGCTTGTCGTCTGCTAGCTCTGGATGATTTCTACTTCACCACCAACGAAGCCTAGTAAGAATACACGATCGTTGCGAGGTCGGTTGATCACCGTCGGCGGAATCACCTCGATCTTGAAATAAACTTTTTTTAGCCGTGGCATGCCCATTTATTTTAGCTGTGCAGCTCATGTGTGGTCACAGCTCATGCAGGTAAGTGTACTATCACGTCCAACGCGCCCTCTTTTTCAGCATCACTGCAGGCCACTGATACCATGGTACGGCACCTCCGCGTGCATCACTAGCACTACGTGTAGAGTCTACACGGCTCTTGCAGGTACAATCATGTACTGAGTGTCGCAGACAGAGCGACACATTTTATCGCTGTTGCAGGCATTTAGTTTGCTGACCCCTCGATGTTTCTTCAAGCGCTGCCACTTGTTCCACGAAGTCATTCTCACCCCAGCTAAGGTAAAACAGTGATGAGGCTTGAGTGAATGGCCATAAGCACGAGAAATATGCAGGCTGCAACGCCCGACTGATCTCAGCGAGTCGAAATTACCATCGCAGCAACGTCAGCGAAGAAATTGCGTCTAGTTCAAAAATTCCAGCTTCCAATAACAGAAAATAGAACTTTGCTGTCACCCGATACTGATGACTATCGCCTATGTCCGATTGCTTGCCTCTGGTACGAGTGCTGGTGAGTAAATACCCTGTTTTATATCAAAAGTCAAACTGCGACAATTTCAACGACGCGGAGGTAGTACATACATACATACATATCTGTGCTCACACACAATGCCCATACATACATATCTGTGCTCGCACACAATGCCCATATGTGCATATCTGTGCTGACACGCAATAGCATGGCGGGTCTACGGAGACAAATTCTTGCTTACCTGTGACTTAGTGTCGACGCTGGCCACCTGCCGGCCATTCTGTGCATTCCAAAGACGAATGTGTCGATCAGATGTGCCACCACCACTGGCCAAGCAGTGACTTTGGAATGGACACCAGGCTAGGGCCTAGGTACAGCAAATGTACACGCGCCCACACATGCATGTGCACATACATGTATACACACGCATGTACATACACCCACCCACACATGCACACCCACATGCAAGCGCACGCCCAGAACAAATTAGTACATATGCAATGCACATGCGCGTGTTTAATTCTACCGAATGCCATCAGAATCCTACATACGCGACGCGAAGAGTGGACGAATGCATACTGGAAATCACATGCTACTCAAGATAGGCATATTTACAGTACACTGACAAGCACCCACACCATACACAGGCTTTGACCCATACAGTAGGGATTTCAGCGAACGCACTGCGCAGAGTGTTCGCACATGTCTTACGTCATGCAGAAATCTATGAGGCGCACGGCCGACAAGAAAAAATGGCGATCGCTGAAATCAGGTTGCGGATCAGGCTCAGCACAGGCCGGCAAGGACTAAAAATTAAAGCGACAAGAAGCCTGTTTATTGGTTTGCTTGAGCTCGATTCATTCAGGAAAGGAGACATCAGGAGCTAATATTCTTCGGCACTCATGCCTGGTAAACGTTCTCAAGTAAAGACATGACAAAGGAAGACGACATTCGTAGCTGGATGGAGCTATGTTTGCAACAAAGAACAGTACTCGTACTTGAACAGGCCACCTGGTGACCTCTGGTTGCGTCTGAAACTTACTTGTTGATTTTGCTCTAGCCATGCCAAGCAAGTTTCCAAGACTTGGGCTCCTACTCCTTTGTCTAGACAGCCATGACTAGAAATTACTTGGGCAAAGGTCCTCAACACGAGAACAAGTAGTATTGTCACTGTCATTCAAAACTTCAAAAGCGCCATGGCATATGTGTGCGGTACATGGTGCCCAAGTAATCTTTTGATTATTTTCGCGCGAACGCCTCCGTGGATTTCCTCCAATCTTGGCACGTGTAGCCCACATGGTCAGGCCAATTCAATGACGTCTTCAAAAGGGGACCTCCCTGGTTAGATCTTGCCAGGTACCAGCCAACGTTCTCCGAAATCTAGCTGACGATCGTCCATTTTTGAGCTGGAAGAAAGTGCCTCGGAAAACCTGTGGACGACGTCGAGAACAGTGTAGTGAACGATGAATGTATTCATAATAACCTTTGCAGCCATCGCCCAGCGTCGTAGAGGGAAGCTTCGAAGTAGCTCGGCTCTAGCTGGTCTTCTTCCTCAGACACTTCTTCGCCATTCCGTCCTTCTTTTCCTTCCTGATTTACTTGCGAATTGTTTCGGGTGTGGATGGTCACGGCTTGTCGGCCGCGTGAGATGTGCACGTGATCACCTGCGCAGTGCGTTCGCTGATATCCCTACATACAGCACCGCGCGCACACACACACACACACCATTTGATGCCCATCGCCAGAGGCGATGATAGCGATGCTACGGCAGAAGCCATAGCAGCCATAGCACACACACACACACACACCTGCACGCACACACTACGGAGGCACCAGAGCACAGCGTCGCAATATATTATCCAGCCCAGCAGTGCATCCAGCAGTACAGCCCAGCAGTACATGCAGCCCTTTACCTTCACTGCAGCGGTGTGTTCTGTAATGGTGTGAATCGGTCCAGAACCAAAGCCAACACCGCCATTATTGTAGCCTGGCCATAGTAGGAGAGTGTTATCATTACCGCCGCTAGCTAGCATGTTGCCGGACGGTGACCACTTTAGTCCACACACTTCTTGAGAGTGACCCTTGAAAGAAGCTGAGAGAGAGAGAGAGAGAGAGAGAGAGAGAGAGAGAGAGAGAGAGAGAAGGAAAGAGAGATGGAGACGGACAGAAAGAACACGGGAGAGAGAGAGACTCTTTTTTATAACACATCTCAAAAATCTGCCTGCCCGGAACCGAACCAAGTCTATAATTGGGAAACTTCCATAACTTGGAATGATGTGCTAAATTACAATGATACGTGTTACATACATGCATGCACAAGTGAAGCCATATGCATCAAATCACCGTGATAGTAACACACCGAAGCATGTTACGCAGGGGATACCCCACTGGTAAATGTATCTGGATTAGCTGGGTGCACTTAAGGTGTATGTATTCAGGTATCATCTACAGACAGCAGTAAGCGGCGGTATAATCGTGACGCGGTCACAGTGGTACCAAGTGGAGCAACACACTGAAATAGAGAAACCTTACCCATCATGTGGTTCGGAGCACGCACGTCATGATGTTGAATTTCTCCACATCTGTCACCACTGCAACACACACACACACACACGCACGCACACACACACACACACACAAACAGAAGAGAGGGAAAGTGTTTACTGGGACACACACACAACACAAACAGGAGAGAGGGAAAGTGTTCATTGGGGCATAAGCGGAAAGGAAGTTTCCTACTTTACCAATAATACACAGCACTGAGTTACACCTGGATACGAAAGACATTGTGGGCCATGGAGTGCACATACAAAGCAAAAACAAGCATTATCCAGGGAGGAATTCCAAGACAATGGCAACCTACCTCGTAAGAATGTGCTTGTTCCATGCTAATGTTCCCACACGATTGCCATGAGTTCTCAGGCGACGCAGGCATTTCGAAACAGCCACATCCCACAGCTGGACAGAAACAGCCAAAATGAGAGGGAGAAAAACATTTCCATCTTCCACATGAAGAAATACATGTAAAGACATCTGGAAGGAATATTTGAAAAGGAACTCCTGTAAATGATGTGCTCACACTACAAAGAAGAAATCACTTTATCTCCGTCATGGCTCGAGATGAGTGTTTGCAGGAGTTCAAAAGGAGGAACACTGGCCACAAACGAGCTAGATAAAGCCAGAAAGGTGCAGGTGCAAACGTGCAAGGTGCAGAGGAGCAAGGTGCCAACAAAGTATGAAGACACACCTGAGTGTGACTGTTACACACCCGCACATGCACACGTGTGGAACACGCACAGCAGCAGGGCATGCTGGCGTGAACAGCGCCATGTGTCGACACTACTACCGCTAAAAATAGTCCTGGAAAGTGTAAAGACAAGTGTTGGCGCCAAGTCTCACAGGTTCTACTGCAAGGACTACTACAGTCCTGGCCACAGAAATCCAACCTCATGAATAAAGTAGCACTGCGCTAGAGTTCACAGACCAGTGTGTTTAAGTGTAGCGCCTGGCGCTATTTTAGTCATGAGGTTGGATTTCTTTGGCCAGTACTGTACGATGCACAGCCACTTTGGACAGTGAGTGTATGCAGGTGAGATGTTGTCATGCTGCGCAAAACCGCCAGCCAGAAAGCAGCAACACATGTCTCACACACACACACACACACACACACACACACACACGAGCGCGCACACACACACATGCATACAAACACACGCACACATTGTTGCACACAGTTGCACTCTCAGTACACTTACCTGAACTTCGTTATCACTGGTGCCGACTGCTAGGTATTTGCCGTCTGGAATCCAGGAGACGGCGGATATGAAGCTAGACTCATGTTCCATCTCAAACAGCTGCTGGATGTCCCCACTGGATGCATTCCACAGGTATAGCACGCCACCTAGCGCAATAGCCAGGTGGTTGTTTGCACTCCAGTCGATCAAGTTCAAGTCTGCAGGTAGCACAGGACAACAGAGCAATACAGACGTGCAGACACACGATGGCTTTGTTGGGTGCAGAGCACACTCGATACATACGTACAGGCTTTGTTTGTTGGAAGCAGAGCATAGTCAACACATACATGCAGCTAATTCGTACGGTGCAGATTAGTGGACATACATCTACTACTAGCTAATTCGTACGGTGCAGATTAGTGGACATAGATGTACTAGTGGTAAGGGAGAAGGTCACAACAGGAGCTGACAGTACATTTTAAGGCCGATTCACAATATAACTTTCTGCGACGCGACATGCGACGAGCTGCGATGGCGACACACTGTTCACAATATTCTTCATGTTTGCGACATCATCATGCACAAGTAGTACTATGCACGTGCACTGCACGTGCACCCAGGGTCGAAACTGTACTCCATTTGTGTATGCCGCGTGTCGCATGTCGCAAAAGTTGAACTTTCTTCAACTTTTGCGACAGGTGCATTGCGACAGCTCGCGACAGGCAGTTTCTTGTCGCAACTGTCGCAAATCGCATCGCAGAAAGTTGTATTGTGAATCGGCCTTTAGACGTTTTCACCATACCAGTAACTTAATGCACATAACATAGGTTAGCAGTCTCCAGTGTAGAACAAACATATGCCACACGCTACAAAAAAAGGAGAGAGAGAAATGGAAAAACGTAAACTCACAGAAATCATCCATTAGCTCCGGAGCATCAAGCACTCGCTCAGCTGTTGTCGGAATATGCCGCTCGACATGAGTTTTCTTCACCTTGGCTGAGCTTGATGACTGGTACAGTAGCTGAGCACTGCATGTGCCTGAGAGAGAGAGAGAGAGAGAGAGAGAGAGAGAGAGAGAGAGAGAGAGAGAGAGAGAGAGAGAGAGAGCAAGAAGGAGAGAGAGAGAGAATAGAGTTTAACATACATGGCCCAGTCTAGTAGACACACACACACAGGAATCAGGTGTCGTAAGCGCTATCTGTTGTGCAGATTCATCTGATATACAATCAGAGTACATGTACAAATTAAATAAGTTTAAGCAGTGCGTGTTCCGTCATAATCTTTCCCTTCGCTTCACGAGGCATAGTGCACACACCGTATGTTGCTTGAAGCCCCTACAAATGACGATTTCTAGTCATCTCCCGAATGCCTGTAGTGTTAGGCTGCATCCTACCCGGTGTCACCGCCCCCTAATCCTGGATGGCAGGGAAATAGAGGCTCAGCTGATGGCTGGGGCGTTCGCATTTCTGGTTTCAACTTTCATGGCCACAATATTCCTTCCCTGAAAAAGTTGATGAAGTCGAACACGAGGGCTGTGTGCAGACATTTGTCTCTGGCCTCTACGTAACTTATCGTGGGATCAACGGTACCAGTCTGGACTGGACACACTGCTTTCACCGTGACCCTTGTATTGCATCGACATGATCTCTATTGTCAGCAGTACTGACTGTACATGTAGGCCTGTTCCATATAAACTTGTCGTGTGACTGAAACGTAAATTAATAGGAGAGTCAGAGTTTAGACGACCGTGGTCGTTGCTCTTTTATTGCCGCACGAGAGCACGCATTGCCAGCAAAATGCTATTTGTACTTATGCCAGGCAATGATGAACGTACGCCAGCTTTGAAGTGATATGCCAGAGAAATAGAGAAAGAGACTCCGGTCAACAAATTGCCTACCTTGTTTCGGTGCGGGTTTGTCCTCGTAATGCAGGATTATTTTCGAGTCTAGCTTGACGCCCTGAGCTGCTGCGAGGTTCGCAGCCATCTGCTCTCGGGATGCTTTAGTATTGGGACTGACATTCTCCTCAGTCTTTTCAGTTAGATCAGCCACAATTTTGGCGTGGCTAACGCTGATAGCATCACGGTCCATTCTTGACGGTATAAATCTGTCCGGTGTTGCCACAGTTCGAGCTGGTGAGCGTGAGCCACGAGCTGGAGAGTGGCTTCCAGCTTTCCTTCCAGGCGAATGAGAGCGTCTACCATCCATTATGTCAAGTTTGTTTCGTTCAAAGCTTTGATATAGATCAGGACGCAGAATATCAGAAATCTTTTCAAGAAGTGTGATTTCCGAGTCCAGCTAGCTAGCTGACTGTCTCGACGACTCGAGTCCTGTGCGGCATGCACGCTTTCGCACATTTTCATGATTTGAATCGACCTCCACACTGAACCAGGGAGTAGTCCTTTGAACTCACCAATGACAGGAGGCGCATGACATCACTCATGCGAGAACAAAGGTTGTTATTTTTCAACTCACCTTCAAGCCAAGCGCACAAGACAGCTGACAGCTGTGTGTGTGTGTGTGTGTGTGTTGTGTGTGTTTGTGTGTTACTGCACACGCAGCACAGTCTCCACCAGGGAGTCGTAAAATACGTATTTTACGACTCCCTGGTCTCCACTGTACGTTCCTTTGCCATGGAGCCTACTGACAGTAAAAAACTGTACGTCGTACAGACTGTGTGCATTACATTTTTAGTACTTACAACTCCTACTCCCCATAGGCCATGGAGTCGTCAAATACGACTCCCTGGTACTCCCTTGACTCATTGACATAGGTAGGGGGTGGGGTGGGGGGTAAAAGAAAAAAAATTGACATTGGTTCAGATCTACAGAGTCAGACTACACTGACAAACTACACTATACTAGTCTACAGTCAATTCAGAAAACGTTGATATCCTAGCTTTTGGCCATACTAGTAACTGATAAATGGGTCAAATCTTGAGTTTTTCACAATTAAATAAATTATTTATATACTTCGAGTACCGTAGAATCCCGCGGATAAGCCCACCCGCGTATAAGCCCATGCTCGAGCATAAGCCCAGGGAAAGTTGGAACATCACAAAGCTTCATCGTACAAGGCCATGGGCCTAAATTGTACCAAGAGTCCATAAATTATGGACTCTTGATCATACCATGTACATGTAGTACAGTCGAATGTCACTTATCCGACCACTTCGGGAATCAGGCATGTTGGATTATAGGCCATTCACACTACGGTCCAGAAGTCACGTTTTCATGGTTTCTCGGTAGGCGGCCATGGAAACCATGGTTTGGCGGGAGGCTTGAAAACGCGAGCCCGCAAACTGTCCCACGGTCTCGGCATCCCTGGCTGTACGTTTTCTCGGTTGCGATTCAAAGTTTTGGCACCAGTGTCAGTCACCAAGTGGGTGTGTTTTTTTCTGTTTTCCTTTCGACCAACGACCATGTCCAACCGAACTTTCAGTCCCGAGTCTGAGCGTATGCTCATCGAAATTTATTGTGACTTGCTGAAATCAGCAGATAAAATCAATGATGACCAGAAGTGCGAAGGGGCAAAAAGCTACACACCTGCTGAATAATCGCATGGAAGTGTTCAGCCTCGCGAAACGCTTCTCCATGAAAGAAGTACACAACAATGTCGACTCCCTCAAGAAGAAGGGACGAGAGCTGTACAAGGCCCATCGTCTACAAGACTTGTCGGTGAATTCATTTTATGAACATTAATCCAAATTAATTTTTCATGAGCCGACTAGCCCATGCTCAGGCATGCGCCATTTTATCTCCAAGACAACCTGGTCAGTCGCGGTGAAAACGCACACCCGTACCCAGTTTCAAATGCTGGTGTGAATGTCCCTGCCGCACAGTCGCACAACAGTATACTCAAACTGAGAAAAAGCGGGTGCATGGTCACGTAGTGTGAATGGCTTATAACTGGATATGTTGGATCACTGATATCATTTTTATGTGCATATATGGCTAGGGCTTGGCGGATAATGCCGGCAGAATTTTCGGCAGAAAACGCCTGTTTGGGGGGTCGAGCATATTTCGGCAGAACGGGGGCTGAAAAAGCATTCTCTGCCATGTGAAATGACAGTTACCACGGAATTGGCGTGCGACGTTCTGCTTTTGCAGCAGATTTGCCGCGTTCTTCGACACGCAGTCCATCCATCCACCAAATGTGGCCGGAACTGTTACTTTGCGGAAGGTAGCAGCCTTGAATGGCAGGCCAGTGGCAGAAGTCTACGAGTCGTAGATCTACATAATATGGCCCAGTTGCAGTGATTTTCGACCTTCGGTGAAAAAGCCCGCTGTGTGAAAAGATTCAAATCAAATCATCTTTTGCTGCGCAAGCCGGGCCGCGGACGGGTATTCCGTGGATCACGACACCAGTGAAGTCAGACTTGAAAATGTTCGCAAAACAAGCATTTTGCAACGAAGGTCGAAAATCGCTGCAACTGGGCCATATTATGTAGTGTGGCTGTCCTCTCGCTCAAAAAGAGCATTGTGGAGGACCACCTGAAATCAGATCGCCACTTTCGTGGGAAGGAAGAGCGCCAGGCTCAGGTGCTGGAGTCTTGGGAGAAATACCAGAAGCGACATGCCAGCGTGCTCGGTGGTACTGGCTTGACTCCAGCAGTCGATCCTACCCATTCTCTGGCCCGAATTCAGGCTGTGTCTGTGCTGCTGAAGGCTGGCATACCACTAGCAAAGATGTCGTATCTCCGACCACTGTTGGAAAAGGGCTCAGTGCCCCTGACGGATGCATCCCATCTTCGGTCATACATACCCTTCATCCATGAAATGGAAGTGGCCACTCTGAAGTCCGAGTTGCAAAACCATCCTCCTCTGACCGTGATTTTCGACGGAAGTACGTATCAAGGGGAGGCGCTAGCTGTGTTGATCCGGTATATCAATGATGACTTCACCATAGTCCAGAGGTTGGTACGAGTGCACATTCTGGCGAAAAGCCTCAGTGGACAAGAGCTGGCGCGGGAGACCATAACAACGCTGAGTACGGAGATGCAGATTCCTGCTAGTGCAGTGGTTGGTGCTGTTCGAGATGGTGCTAGCGTCAATGGTGCAGCTTTGCGGATGCTCAAGGACGTGATGTATCCAGATCTCATCAGCATCATCTGTGTATCGCACACTTTAGACAATGTGGGCAGACACATGGAGACTCCTTTGCTGACCACGTTCCTTCAGTGGTGGGTCGGGCTGTTCTCCCACAGTCCAGCAACGAAGCTAGTGTGGAAGACACAAACCGGCCATGCAATCAAAGGTTACAGCCGAACGAGGTGGTGGTCATGGTGGGAGGTGCTTGTGCAACTGGAAGAGCACTTTCAGGCTGTTCTACCATTCCTTACGGGTTTGCAGTATTCACCCACCCTTCGCAACCATCTCAAGGAGGTACTGGAGGATGATCAACAGCGCACAACACTGAGGCTTCAACTAGCTGTCACACTTGATGCTGGAAGGTCATTTGTGACAAGCACCTACTCTCTGGAAGGAGATGGAGAGGCTGTTGTCACTGCCTATCGCACACTCCAGGAGGTCACAACTGCCGCAGCTGTCCAGAACTATCCAAAAACCAATGCTGTAGCTCTGGAAATGGCCAACGGAACCCAAGTCGAAGCCGATGGCTTGGTTGCTACTGCCAAGGCCTGCGTTGCACCTGCCATCAAATACTTCCGGGAGAGAATGAACAAGAATGGCACGGAGATGTTCGAAGTGGTCCGTCTGCTCAAGCCTCTTCGACTATTCTGCCCGGAGCAAGCAGCTACTCTCCGTCCTACTGCAGAAGCCATTGCGGATCTGTGTGTACTCCCCGCCCTGAATGATGATGCCCTGATCACACAGCTACAAGAAGAGTTACCGGTGTACCTGACAGCAGCAGGTGATGTTGTCATCGATGCAAACACCACCCAACTGCAGTGGTGGAAGCGGCAGACTCGCTTGCCATGTTGGCAGAAGGCCGCAAAGATTGCGTTCTGCCTTCTCCCATCATCAGCCCCAGCCGAACGGGTTTTCTCACTGATGAGCGCCGGCTATCGGCGACCAGCAGCACAGCCTCTTGGAAGACCACATTCAAACGATGTTGATGCTGCAGTACAACCGGAATTGAATGCTGCCAGGGTTGACAATGAAGTTTCCCGGAAGCTACGGCAGTATAATCCGTCCATTGGTGAGAACAGATCATAAAAACTAGAATGTCTTGTGTTGTTGTCCATACGTTATTGCCTTTTAGCAGCCCCATTTACCTCTTTGTGTGATATTTCCCCAGCCTTCAGCACAGCCATTTCCTCTGGCTAATGCAGTCAGTCCAAATATACTTGGTGAGAACTGATCATAAAGACTAGAATGCCTTGTCTAGTATTTCACATGACTCATCTTTTTAGATCCTGAACCCAATTATGTGTGCCAAGTGTATTTTTACATAACTGGATTTCAGCAGAAATTTCAGCAGAAAATGCACTTTCATGAGCAGAATATTGAGCAGACCGAAAAGCAGAATGAGGGATTTCGGCGAGCATTATCCGCCTAGCCCTATATATGGCTGGATTTCACTGATTTATGTACACAATACCCAAATATATTCATGCATATTCATGAATTGCTCCATGTACACATACATGTTAGCATACTTGACCACACACACTTCAAATACATGCATATTACACTGTATTAATATACAACAACAAAAACTTAAATTTAGAATTTTACTGTTGAGAGTCATAAAATTACCACTCCCTGGCTTGTCGGATAACCGACGTGCTCGGATAACTGGCGACCGGATAAGTGACATTCGACTGTACATGGTTTTTTTTGGGTTTTTTTACATTTCAACACAATCATCGGTTGTTTTTGTTGCGCACAGTGGCTTTCAGCAATGTATTTCTCACTTCCTATGTACTTTTCAATGCACAATTTTGGTATCAGCGTATAAGCCCATGCCCGTGTATAAGCCCACCGAAATGTCCTTGTGTCAAGTGGTGAAACAGATAAATAAGCCCATGGGCTTATCCGCGGATTCTACGGTATCTGAAGTCCAGTTCTCCGAAAAGCAAGCCGGCTAGCCATAACAAGAACAGGATTTCGGCCAGGTTTTGTCTTGTAAGCACTGGATTGGGAAAGGCCATGAAAATCCAATCTGTTTCACTCCACTTGCATCACTGCATTGTCCGGTTGGAACACCGGTTGAGGTACCTTTTTTGGACCCTTTTTCTAACCTCAAATTTCCCGGCACTGCACAGTGTGCGATAAAACCACGAAAAATTGCCAAATACGGGAGCTCACCACCGCCAGCGCTCATCTTTTTTTATGAATGGACTGTAGTAGTAGCCAAAAATGCAAAATGGCAAAACACCCAAAAACAGGCCTCACACATACCGGCACATGACCATATCTGCCTGCAATCTTTGAGGGCATGTTGCCTCCGAAGCCAG